CCCAAAGAGCAAGTATAGAAATTACTCAAAATTACCCAAAAAGGCCCAAAAATCAAGTGTAAATCTTTGAAAGTGGGCTAGGAATAGTAGTAAAGAGTCATGTAATCTATTAGAACCTATGTGAGACTAATCATGATTAATGGATAAGTTTAATTATGATTTAATACCAGCTGGATGAGTATATTCCACAAGAGCCAATGAAGTCAATTTGTGTTAATGATTGGATTAATTCTCATCTAATGAATCTAATTGAACCATGATCATGGCTATTGGATTTGAACCAAATAGGTTTCAAAAATTAATTGAAATAATTAGAATGGAACTAAGAGGGTTAAAATCCAACTAAAAGTACAAAAGCCATCATGAAAGGGCAAATTGGATTTTTACAAATGTACACATATGTAGCCTTGTAAAATGAGCTAAAAGGAGACATAAATTGAATCTTCAACACTTGTGAGAGAGGGAGTGCATCCATGTAATGCCTTGGGGGAGGTCCAACAACAAGTCAAAATTTCTATTTAAAGGCATGCATGCAAAAGGGAAGAACTTTCACTCATTTTTCATGAAGTCTAAGTAATTCTCTATTCTTCTTCATCTTAATTCTCTCTAAACACATCCAAGTTCATCTCAAATACTTCACCTGAACCCCCACAAAGTTAGATCACCCAATAACCCACCATAAAAGTTTTGAATCTAGCCTTTAAACCTCACCAAAAATATCAAGATACTCCACAAATGTACAAAGTTTTCAACTTTTCTTCTTGGAGATCATTGTCAAGTGAGCAAAGAGGAGACCAAGGAAGAAGGAAACTCATTTTCAAGAGGAGAAAGGAAGTAAAAAAGGAAGAAGAGAAGGATCACCTAAAGATCAAGGTAAGATAAACCCAAAAATACCAAGTAAAGGAGAGGGTATTTTCATAATTAAGGGAAATACTTTGTTTAAATAGTTTTGAGTCGAAGGGGAACCTTAACCATTTTTTGTTGTGTTAAATTTGTATGTATTGATAAAGATATGATTAAATGTTTGATTGAAACAAATAAATACATGAAAATTACTAAGACCACAAAGTGTGTTGTATTTGATGATGACTTTACTTATTATGTGGTTAGTTGCATGAAAATCTTGCATGTTTCACGTGGATCTATGATTTTGTGACTTATTTCTATGGTGTCTAAGTTGTATCCATGATTTTGTCTTGGATTGAAATTATTTTGGAGTCAAAATGAATTTTTACAGTATTTTTAAAGATTTATCAAAGAAACTTCTAAAAAGAAATGTATTAAAAATGGAAAGTGACCATGATGAAGACTCTTTAACTTTTGGACATATTTGGACCTATGGAGTAAAAGAAAAAATGATGAGAACAAACTTTAAGAAAATAAATTTGAAAAATTGAACTTAAAAATGGAAAAATACAATGGACTTGGACCAAAAATACCTTGAAAATACAAAACAACCATAAAAATAATTTGGACCATATTTGAACATGAATTAAAGACCTTGAATACATGGGAGACATACTGGATAATTTAAGACTTACCAAATTTGGAGACAAGAACCTTTTTCTAATTAATTTAAAATATAAGGATTAAAGTGTAAATAATGTAAAATATGAGAAAATCTTTGAAAATTATTTTTTAGTATTTTATTCATTAACATATTTAAATTTTAAAAAAATTTCCACTAATTTTACTTTATTTGGATTTATATTGAATTATTTATGATTTTTCTAAGTTTATGTTGCATGAAAATAGTATTCTCGGAGCAGTTTACTTCGATTTATTTTCGTCTTAATATATGTTGGTAGTGTTATTTTATTGATATTTTTGGTATGAAACTAGACTTCTTAATAGAATTATGCTCACTAGATTCACTTGATTTGGAATTGAAATAAAATAGTTATGAATTTTTTAATATTCTATTATGTTTAAATATGTAATGCCTATTTTATAGGTTGAGCTTCCTCCATAAACAGAAAAGTAAAGTAATGGTAATTCCTTTCATCTCTCATTTAATACCAAAAATAAATACATATAGCAAGGTGGTTCTCACCAAAGGAAAAGACACATCACAAACAAAAAAATAGCAATATCAAAGAATCCTAACTACCAAGGAAGTACTACCCGGCCCTCACGCTCACAATAAGTCCTATCACCTACTTCAATCTACCCTTAGCAGTACAATCATAGTCCCCAAAATACTTTGGTCTAACTCTATTGTGTTTGGGTTTGCTCATCATCAACATTGGGTTGGTGACAAAATCACTTCCATCATCTTTAGCTTCAGCTTCATTATCATGGGCCATTACAAAATGTTTTCCTGAGAATAACGTACTTTAAATTATTTTGTCTTAAAATTCAAGTACAATTTTATTTTATTTATATTTTTGTATGAAATTATACTTTATAAGAAAAATATTCTCACTAATTTTTTTTTATCAATTTGGAGGTAAAATAATTTACTTATGATTTTCTCAAGATGTTGTTGTATGAAAGTAACGTTTTGTGCATTTTACTCAGAGATCTATTTTTTGTTTTAAAAGGTATAACTGAAGTTATTTTATTAGTATTTTTTTATGAAAATAGAGACTATAAGAAAAATATTCTTACTGGTTTGATAAATTTTAGATTTAAAATAAAATAGTTATGATTTTTCTATTTAAATGATTATGAGTAGTAAGTTACTATGAGTAGTAGAGAATGTTTAGGACTTATTCTGAAATCTGAAAGTGATAAATTTTTACTTATATTTTTTTGTGAAATTAGATAACCAAAGTGAAAGAATGCAATTGATTTCATGAGTTTTAGTAGTGAATTGAATAGTTTATGATTTTTCTAATATGTTGTTGTTAAATTGTGCTATTATGTGACACATAGTGAGAAATTAAAGCACGAATGAATGTCTATAAATATCTTGATTTTCAAAGTATTTTTAAATGAAAATAAACATGTTAAGGAGAATAACTTCACTGATGAACATGAATCTACTTGTTCAATGTCAAACTGTTCACAAATAAACTCAGCTAAGCCTATTTAGAATATAATTAAAGACTTTAATTAGAATAAAAACTAATTATTTATTCTACCAGAAAGACTTCAAAACAAATTTCATTGATATTTACGCCACGTTAGAAAACAAAAATACTTAGATTAAGCCCATTTAGCTATAAGTGACATAAAACCAGCTCCAAGAAGAAGAGATACATTGCATCCTAATCGAAGCCTACCACTATTTTGCATCTTTGTACTCATAAAATCAGCTGCAAGAAGATCAACAAGTGCCATATAAATTAAAATTTCAGACGATGCAGTATTGAAGATTCCTTCCACAATAAGCGCAGTGGGATTGTTTTCATCATAAATATCAATGATTCCTATGCCAATTCCAATCCCCACCGAGTAGTTAACACAAAAAATAACCTCATAATTGTGACAGAGACCTTCTTGAATCTTGCCTGCAGTAATTTCACATTCTAAAAATTCACAAAACATTGTTATTTTCTTTCATTTCATAAACAGAAATATAAATTATAAAGACTTATATTGCTTGCTTTTATATATATATATATATATATATATATATATATAGCTATTTGTGATGTGACTAACAACCTGCTTCAATGAACTTTTAAAGAAAAGATACCTTATGGTACGGTATGGTCATGACATTTTAATAAGATGATTTGTTTTAGTTAAAAAAAAAATAAAACAAAATTTTTTGAAGAATCGTAACCAATAATCATTTCGTGTATCATATCAAGTAAATAATAAAGTACCTGAGTTATGCAACTTCCAAGTCCCATGCCCTCGAAAAATTGATGAAAAGTCAACGCAGCTACCAGTGGCCTTATTGTTTTGGGACTCTCTGAAGCTCCTAAAGATATTCTAATGATGACAGAATGAACAACGATCCTTAACTTCAACACCTACGTTGAAATCAAAACCATCAATCCATGTGAATTCAAAATTCAAAGTTTATTATCATAAAATAAAATCAATCTGTTCTTATTAAGAATTGTGCACCTATTACAGGTAGCAACATGTGTCAATTTGGCCTCCTTTTAGTAAAAGTATAGTCAGAAAATGAATGTGAGACATGTAATGCTTTTGTTTTCATTAAGAATTGTGCACCTATTAGAGATAACATTCACTATCCTCATTTTTTCAATATTCCCAATCTGCTCCATTTTTCCATATTCCTAATGTATCTTTGTAACTATCTACATGTATTCTGATCACTTTTCATGATAATGCAACTTTCACCCCTTTTTCCTTTCACCATTTTAAACCATTCCAAGGCTTTTGTTCTTCTTTTATTTGTTACAAGTGGTCCTATTTTTTCTATAGAGATTCACATATAATTTGAAAGAGAATAATAAAATAGTTAATTATACTATTTTGATTGCATATGTCATGAAAAAACTAGATATATTTACATTATATATCATTTTATATATGAAAGATTATGTCTCAAAGTATTGTATTATTAATAAAGCTAACACTTTTGATAATCATTGAAGATGATAATTATAACATTTTTTTTATTTGTCTAATCACTTCATTCAATAAAAATATAATAATTACTAAAAAATTATTTTTAAGAGAATAAAAATTATGTTTAATACAAACATTATTAGTATTATTATTGAATGCATTATTTAGATGTCAATACTAAGTTCTTTGTCAACAATGTTCATACTAAGAAGTAAATTTTACATAAAGCTAAGTAATTGATTTTTAAAAGTATTAAGAAAATTTAGTAAATATAGTTAACCTTAAGCCAAATTCTTAGTCAAAAAAGATAAATGACACCAAAAATTGATGAATATGAATCTACTTTGTTCAATGTCAAATTGTTTACAAATGAACTCAGCTAAGCCTATTTAGAATATAATTAAAGACTTTAATTACAATAAAAACTAATTATTTATTCTACGAGAGAGACTTCAAAACAAACTTGATTGATATGTACGTCACGTTGAAAGCAAAAATGCTTAATCCTAAGCCCATTTGGCTATAAGTGACATAAAACCAGCTCCCAGAAGGAGAGATACATTGCATCCTAATTGAAGCCTACCACTATTTTGCATCTTTGTACTCATAAAATCAGCTGCAAGAAGATCAACAAGTGCCATATAAATTAAAATTCCAGATGATGCTGCATTGAAGATTCCTTCCACAATAAGCGCAGTGGGACTGTTTTCATCATAAGTATCAGTGATTCCTATGCCAATTCCAATCCCCACAGGAGTAGTTAACGCAAAAAACAACCCCATAATTGTGACAGACACCCTCTTAAATCTTGCCTGCAGTAATTTCACATTCTAAAAAGTTACAAAACATTGCTATTTTCTTTCATTTCATAAATAAAAATAAAAATTATAAAGACTTATATTGCTTGCTTTAGAAGTATCTTTATCTATATATGTTTATATAAAGAAACAATCTAACCACTATTATGGCTGTGTGTGTGGTGACTAACAACATGTTTCAATGAATTTTTAAAGGAAAGATACTTTATGGTTGTTGAAAGTTCGGCGACAACTAAAGGTCTATGGAGATTCAGTTTTCATAGTAATGTTATCATGATTGAATCTTGGAACTTCAAAATACAAATTACTGAAACTTTATTTTTTAATGTAAAAGTTATGTTAATTTCCAACATTAAGTGTTGACATGTGTGTGGTACGGTACGGTCATGACATTTTAATACCTAATTAATTAACGTAGTTTCATCATTTGAATAGGAACAAAGAATGGACCCTATGAAATTTATTCATAAAACGTGATAAAGCCTTAGGAACAAGCTAGTAACTAAGCATAGCTAAATAAATCCTTTTTTAAATTGTACAAATTTAGTTTCCATTAGTTTTCTTCAACTTAAAACCCTTAAACTTCTAACCATTTACTCAAAATATTTACAAATTGAATTGATTAAACTCTTTTTATTTAAAATTAAAAAAAATATAGATCAAATTTATCCATCATTCAAAAAATTAAGATTTTCTCGCTTCAAATCCTAATCTCACATCTTATAAAATTCTTTAACTTTTGTCAAATATTCACTAATTTATTTATTTTTAATATTTTAAAATATGTCATATTCCAATTCTATTATAAACTTTCTAAAATTTTGAATAAAACCTCTTTTAAATATTTCAAATAGAAAAAAAATCAATAAAAGATTAGAGCTTGTTTGTTTCTCTTTTAGATTTTAATTTTTCAAAATTATATTTTAAAAAAAAATTAAATACCTATTTTTAAGAAGAAAATGAAAATGAAACTTGTGTTAACAAATATTTTGTTTTTTAAATTTTAAAAAGAAAAAAACAGTTTTTAAAAACAAAAATTAAACTTGTAGAATTTAAAAAATAACTTAATCAACTTTAAGAAATAAAAAAAAAATTACAATTACACATTATCCAAACTAAAAAATCAAAACCACTCAATTCAATAAAATGATTTGTTTTAGTCGGAAAAAAAAAACAAAAAAAGTTTGAAGAATCCTAACCAATAATTATTATTTCGTGTATCACACCAACAAAACTACAAGCATGACTTCAATGACAAATAACTCTAAAACTACAAACATGACTTCAATGACAAATAACTCTACATAAATAATAGAGTACCTGAGTTATGCAACTTCCAAGTCCCATGCCCTCGAAAAATTGATGAAAAGTCAAAGCAGCTACCAGTGGCCTTATTGTTTTGGGACTCTCTGAAGCTCCCAAAGATATTCCAATGATGACAGAATGAACAACGATCCCTAACTCCAATACCTACGTTGAAATCAAAACCAACAATCCATGTGAATTCAAAATTCAAAATTTATTATCATAAAAGAAAATCAAACATTTATCGTGTTTGAGTACTATGATCAAAATTAAAAAATTGATGAATCAAATGAAGGACATTTTTAAAATTCATTGTAATATAGACAAAAGTTAAAAATTAGATGGTACTTGTGATATGACCCGATGGCGAAGAAGCTTTGAGGAATGAGAGGACATTTGGCCGTGGGCATGACCATGTGTTGCATGTGTGTGAAGGTGCACATGCCCTTCATGCTCTGACGCTTGTTTCTCTGCATCGGTAGCCTCAACCTGAGCATTCTTGAAGTGCTGCTTTTGAAAATAAGCAGTAGCATAAGTATCAACCATAAGGGTTCCCATGGCAGTGCACATAGCCACAAACCCAGTGAAGGGAAAGTCACCCCATGGATGCTCACTCAAACACGGTGAAGTCAGATTCTCAAAAGCATCAGGGAGCACATGAATGAACCCTGTCGCCAATATCACTCCCGCAGCAAAAGCTTTAACAACAAAGAAAATGTCCTTCTCAGGACTCAAAGCGGGTACAACTTTACCCAACAGTGGAATACACACCCCAACTGCACCTGCAGCTAGAATTGATGCTAAAGCTGCTACTTTGTACCTCAAAGCTTTTGCTTTGTCACGTCCTTCGTCTCCTTGATCACATTCTTCTGACACAACCAGAATTGGAAGCACAAGAAATAGGATTACAAACAATTGAGCGTTTCTCTTTAACCCATTCATTGTGAAGTAGCCGAATCAATGAGCAGATACAAGACTGACGTGCTTATATAGTTTTACAGAAAGTAACAGTGAAAAAAATCCTCATCGATAAACAGAGGAGATTAGTAGATGCGTGTGCGGTAGTTTGGGTGTAACGGAATGAGCAACAATGTTGTGAAATGTCGACATAACAGTATAATGAGTAATAAAAAAATAATTTTAAATGAGTTAAATATAGAAAGTTCACTGAAGAAAGAAGAGAGTTAGGTCCATAATGTCGAAACAAAATTTGAAGTGTCCTAATTTTTTAAAAAGAAAAAAGATTACTTATCTATCTATATTCAAGTCAACTAAATCGGTTTCAAACATTGAACACCACGATAACAGAAAAGGGACCACCGAAGAAAAACAAAAATCTGACATTATAAGTACTCTTATAATTTGTATCAAAGAGAAAGAGTCAAGCCAACCTAGTTTTATCTTTCACGCTGTAATGCATGCTGCAAACTGAAAGCAATTTTGTTTGATATAAAAAATGAAATCTGTGTGACTTAAATTTTATATAAAAATCTTCCACCCGTATCATTTAAATCAATTTTTATTTATAATTTTGTGTCTTTTTGTTTTAAACAAGGAGTAATATGTTTATTATTTGTCTCAAAGTACCAGGTCTATTATAAAATAATCAACATCAACCTTCAAAGATATGTCAAATATTTTCATTAAATTTAATGCAATTAGTGATTTTTTACACTATCCAGACATTATTAAATTAAAATAATTTTTTAAATAAAAAGAAAGATATATTTTTAAATTTTTAAATTTTTAAATTTTTAAATTTTTTTATTATTAATAATAAATATTTTACTATATCTTATACTAATAATTGAAATTTATTATTTCATATATATATAACAAAACATCAAAATATAATAAATTTACTCACCCTTATTCTAAAAATGAGTTATACTTTCATCCTAAGTGAAAAAAGAAGACATATTTTACTAAACCTAGTTATATAACATTTTATAAAACAAATAAATTTATAAAGTATTTCACTATTAAAATTTTGGACTCCCAGACGGATTATTTTTTATATATGATTTTTATAAATTATATATATGAATATATTATTTTTTGAGAAATTACAGAAATATAAAAGTGTAAGTACAAAAATTTAGAGATGATAAAATAAAAATAATAATAAAATGTCATGGCAATTTTTGAAAAAATATTAAAAATTTAAAGAAAAGTTGCTATAATAATTTTTAAGGTTGATTAGAATGTTGAATTGCATTTTTTAAAAATATATAAAACATTATTTGTCAATTTAGAATTTATTATTTTATTTTATTACCTTTTGGTTTAAAGTAGGGATGATAAATTTAAATTTCTGTGATCTTTCATACAGAGAGATTCAAATCACAAAATAATCAAATTGAATTACAACGCGGTAGTACAAACTTTATATTTCATTAGTTAAAAATAAATACTTTTAAAAAATAAATTATATCTAAATTTTATATGCTAAATAAATCGTCTATTTTACTTTAAATTGTTATTGTCGGAATTAATTTGAATTATTTTAAATAATACATAGTATGGCAATTAAGATTTTTTAGTAAAATGTAAGATGAGAAAGTTAACGTTTAAAAAATTAGAGATACTCAGTTGAAAATCAAATGGGAGTGCAAAAGATAAAGGGTTAGAGAATCATAAAAATGTAAAAAATTTAAAAATAAAAAAGTTGTAACTAAAAAATAATGAAAAAAACTTTAAAAAAAATAATTAACAAATAAATATCAGATAAAAAAGGAAAAGATTTGAAGATATTGTTTTAGAATAAAAAAAATTTGAAGTAAATACTTTTTTTATTTTTTATTTCATTATTTCTCAAAAAGTTATATTTGTAAAAATCAAAGTTTTGTATCAAAATTTATACACTTTCAAACTTTTTAAAATTACAAAATTTTTTACATAAGTTCGATAAATAACTAACTTAGAAAGTACTTTCTACATCGATTATGGCTAGAAACCAATATAAAATCAATTCAAATTAAAAATTTTCAGATACGCGTATTTACAGGTAACAACCAAATTATTAATCCTCTCTCTAATTAAAGGGCCAAAATCAGGCTGACTCAGCAAACCCATTAGTCCATAATACTACCTATAAAAGGAAGGTAGAAAATACAAGTAAAGGGTTGACTTTTCAATATTAAATAGCATTTATTGCTCAGAACCGAATCCTGACTTCAGCATCGGAGTGCCTTTTGCAGATACCCTCCCCACGTCAACAACAGTTAAAAGGACATTACCGTTTCAGAGCAAAGACTCGAAGACTAGTGTCTCTCTAGCAGGAACATTTTGGCGCCTACTGTGCGGTACGATTTGCCTCTTTTTTTTTTTATAGTAATCATGGTACTTACAAGAAGCCAGTAAGACAGACAAGCTCAACAAGAGGGAACCTCTCAACAGTAGAAGGATACTACACCTAATCAGCCAATTCCTGAAGTTCTAATGGAGGAGGTGGTGATAAAAGCCTCTTTGCAGTGTTGAGGCAACTCAAAGCAAAGATGATGGAAATGAAGAAGGAAAGGGAGAAAGATGCTCTTGAGCTTTCGGCTTTGAGAAGGGAAAATAACAACTTAATGGAAGAGATAAGAACCCACATATCTTCTCAAACTACACCCCTCGCCCAAGAACAGGGGGAGTCCTCAGCGTTACAAGAGAAGCCAAGGGTGGTTTAGCAACCTGAAACCCAAACTGACCGAGATGATGTAGTGAGCCGAAGCCCGTTTGTTCACCATATCTTCGATGCCAAGTTACTAGAGTACTGAAGAGGCCTTGTGGGAACATTTGGATGTTTTCACAACTCAGGTTGATCTGTATACGGAAAATGATTCCTTGTGGTGCAGGATTTTTCCCACTTCACTTAGAGGACCAGTTCTCAGTTGGTTCACCCGACTCCCCCCTTCATCCATTGACTCTTTTGCAACCCTTACAAGACGGTTCAATCCACAGTTCGCCACAAGCTGACCTCACCCCTTGACATCCTTGGCACTCGTCAATATTCGCCAAGAAAAGGGAGAGTCACTTAGAGCGTTTATGGAGCGCTTTAGCAAAGTGACCTTATCAATCCATAATTTGGAACCAGCCATGACCATGCACAACCTCACAACGGCCCTTAGACTAGGACCTTTTGTTAATAGCATACGTAAAAAACCGCCCATGGACTTGGATGAATTAAGGAGTCGGGCTACCAAATATATGCAAACGGAGGAGTTAGCTAAATACTGGAATCAAGTCTGGATGGATCAGGGGTCCAATTCAAAAGAAGCAGACAGGAGAGAAACTTTCAAGTCTCAGCAAGAAAACAAAGCAAGAAGAAATGATGCAGAGAGGCCGCCTAGAGGACCCAAGTATCCCTCATATACAACCCTTAACACCAACCGGTCAAGGTTGCTCGATCAAGCCTTAGCAACAGAAATACTTAGCATGCTTAGGCACGCCAACACCCCTCCTCGGGCAGACAAAAACAAATATTGCCGATACCATCAAAACAGGGGCCATACCACAGAGGAGTGCACGACCCTAAAGGATAAAATTGAAGAACTAATTAAGGAGGGACATCTGAAAATTGTGCAAGCAAATCCTATCGGTCAGGCCGACAGGGGAAGAGACCGTTATCCTGAATCGTCGAAGAGATACGGTGATAAAAGGCCTGAACGACAACGGAGTCGATTAAGAGAGCCCCCTGTCAAACGATATGATGAAGCGAGAAATATCCCAAGAGGGTTATTAATACCATAGTCGGTAGGTTTGCAGGTGGAGGACCTACTCATTCGGCCAGAAAGAGGCACTTGAGACAAGTCCTCTCTGTCAATAATATATCCTTAGGCAGCATATTTCAAATTCCTCCCATCACGTTTACAGACGAGGACTTTCAAGGAGTGGATCCAGTGCAGGATGATCCCATGGTGATAAGTGTGGACATCCTCAATTGCTCTTTTCAGAAAACACTCATTAACCAAGGGAGTTTGGCCGATATACTATACTGGAATACATTCAAGCAATTGGGACTCAAAGAATATCACAAACCACTAGTCAGTTTTTCTGGGGAGCGAGTAGGGACATGTGGGTGTATCGACCTATACACATCATTCAGGTCAGAACACGAAGGAAAACGCATCAAGGTTACCTACCTGATAGTACATGCGAATACCTCTTACAACATACTACTCGGCCTGCCATCCCTCAATAAATTGAAAGTGATAGTGTCTACTCCTCACTTGGCTATGAAGTTTCCATCCAAAAGGGGCCGAATCATTACCGTTCATGCTGACCAAAAGATAGCCAGAGAATGCTACTTCACAAGCCTGCGTCTTAAGCCATTCCATGAATACAGACCAGATGTCAATATTGTATCCCCTCGGTTTGGAAAGGACTTTGAGATTGAACTAGATCCCAGAGTTGATGAGGGATGTCGGGTCAAACCCAATGAAAATAAGCAACATTTTCAGCTTGGACCAAAGCCTGAACAGGTCACTTATCGAGGGTTAGTCTGTCTGCACAAGAGAGGCAAGATCTTCAGAAAATATTACAGCGTAATGCTGATTTATTCACTTAGTCAGCTTTTGACATGTCGGGCATTGACCCGGCATTTCTCTGCCATCACCTATCAGTTTATAAGGGGGCCAAACCGGTAGCACAGAAGAAAAGGAAGATTGGAGGTGATAGAGCGAAGGCGGTAAAGGAGGAAACTGGTAAACTGTTACAGGCTGGCTTTATCCGAGAGGTGAGATACTCCACTTGATTGGCCAATGTAGTCATGGTTAAAAAGACAAATGGCAAATGGCGAATGTGCACAGACTTCACTGACCTTAACAAGGCATGCCCAAAGGACGCGTACCCCTTTCCAAACATTGATACCCTAGTGGAGGTGCAGCCAGCCACAGGATACTTAGTTTCTTGGACGCATACTCTGGATATAATCAGATCCGAATGTATCCACCAGATAAGGAGAAGATGACATTTATCACGGATTTGGCAAATTTCTAATACCGAGTAATGCCCTTCAGTCTGAAAAATGCGGGGGCAACTTATCAAAGGCTGATGAACAAAATTTTTGAAAAACAAGTGGGGAAGTGCATGGAAGTATATGTCAACGACATCGTGGTCAAATTCATTGCAATAGAACAACATCTTGAGCATTTAAAGGAGGTATTCGGTGAAGCTAGGCGACATGGAATATGGTTTAATCCTGAGAAGTGTACATTCGGAGTAGCCGGTGGCAAATTCCTAGAGTTTATGCTATCAGAAAGGGGTATCCAGGAGAACCCTGATAAGTGCCAAGACACCATCGAAATGACCAGTCCTTGGAATATCAAGGAGGTCCAGAGACTAGACGGTCAGATTGCTGCCCTCGCCAGATTTTTGCCCATAATGGTGGAAAGGTCTTGGCCCTTCATTGATTTGCTCAAGAAATCACAAAAATTTTCTTGGTCGGATGAATGCGAGGAAGCCTTTCTCCAGTATAAAATCATGTTGGCGACTTCCCATATTTTGACCAAACCAAAACCTGAACAAGATATGATCGTTTACTTAGTTGTGTCAGATAATGCCATTAGCTCGGTCCTACTCCAAGAAACACCTGAACCAGTCCCAGTTTATTTCATTAGCCGAACACTCCAAATTCTCGAAACCCGGTATCAGTTGATGGAGAAGGTGGTGCTGGCCTTAATCCACACAGCTCGCCGGTTAAGACACTACTTCCAAAGCCATCAGGTGGTGGTACGAACCAATTGTCCATAGCCAAAATTTTGAGAAAACCAGAGTTAGTTGGTCGATTAATGGCATGGACAATCGACATGTCCTAATTTGATGTTGATTTTGAAAATTGACGCCCTCTCAAAGCTCAGGTGCTCACAGACTTTGTCAATGAGTTTACTACCCGAAAATAGACCAACTTTGATATCTGAAACCTGCATGTAGACAGATCATTAAACCGACTGGGTAGCAGAGCAGAAATTATACTTGAAGGACCAAACACCGTAACCATTGAACAATCTATTCAATTTGAATTCAAAGCATCTAATAATCAAGCTGAGTATGAGGCTCTGCTTGCCGGCCTTAGATTGGCAAAAAAAATTAGAGTGGAACGCATCACTTGCTGGAGCGATTCAAAGATAGTGGCTGAACAGGTCAATGAAACTTATCAGGTGAAGGACTCGGTTATGCTCCAATACTACCAGGAATTCAAGAATATGGAAGGAGAATTTGATAAGGTACACGTTCGGTACACACCGAGGACCATGAATGAACAAGCCGATAAGCTTGCTAGGCTAGCAAGCCAAAGGAAGCCAGGACAGTTACAAAGTGTGATTCATCAAGAGATACATACACCCAGCATTTCTAAACAAGAGTGCATGAACATAGAAAATAGGCCTCAGAATTGGATGACCTCAATCATTCAATATCTCACCAGCAGCAGCTTGCCAAATGACCCAACCTTGGCTAAGAAGATAAGAATACAGGCAGCCAAGTACATCCTTCTCGGTAAAGAACTGTATAAGAGAGGAATTTCAACACCCATGTTGAAATGCCTTGATGAAGACCAAGCCAGTTATGTAATGAGGAAAATTCGTGAAGGTATTTGTGGTACCCATTCCGGTGGACGAACCATGGCAACTAAGATTCTGAGAGTCGGATACTTCTGTCTGACACTATCCAAAGATTGCCACATCTTTGTAAAGAAGTGCATCCCCTGTCAACAACACGATCCTCACATATACCAATATGCTGACACCATTCACCCCATCAGTTCTCCTTGGGTCTTTGTCATTTAGGGAATGGACCTTCTCGGTCCTTTTCCCATGCCAAAAGGACAATGTAAATTCCTTATTGTTGTTGTACATTACTTTACCAAATGGATTGAAGTAGAGTCACTCACCACCATCACAGCCAACAATGTACAAAAGTTCACCTAGAAAAATATTATCACACGATTCGGTCTCCCTTATACCCTGATCAGAGATAACTGGCTGCAATTCATAGACTGGCGATTCAACGAATTCTTGGAAGGATTGCATATCAAACACAAGGTTACATTTGTTGAGCATCCTCAATCCAATGGCCAAGCCGAGGCTGCGAACAAAGTCATTTTATATGAACTTAAGAGACGATTGGGTTCGGCAAAAGGAGAATGGGCAAAAAAGTTGCCCGAGATCTTATGGGCTTATTGATGTACGCCACAAACAACTACAAAGGAGACACCCTTTCGGTTGACATATGGTATTGATGCCATGGTGCCGGTTGAGATTGGTGAGCCATCATTTCGAAGACAAAAATTTGAGGAATCGGCAAACCGCGAATCCCTTGTCGTCAACCTAGATTTATTAGATGAAGTACGTGGTCAAGCAACGATAGTGGCCGAAGCTAGCAAAAGGATAATGGCAAAGAAATTCAATTCAAAAATTAATCCAAGACAATTCTATGTTGATGACTTGGTGTGGCGAGTAACAGGGGAAGAACGTCAGGACTGAGAAGAAGGAAATTGGCTGCTAATTGGGAAAGGCCCTTTCGAGTAATGGCTCGGCTAGACAATGGGTCATACAAGCTAGAGACACTGGAAGGGAAGACGATACCGAGGACTTGGAACAGCACACACTTAAAGCATTATTTCAGTTAAGCATTTGTAATATGTAATCAGTGCACTCTTTTTCTCACTCAGGTTTTATCCTCTTAAAAGAACGTGAAAAGGGGTTTTCGTGGGAAGGTTTTTAACGAGGCACATTATCAAGAAAATACTTCCTCTACAGCTACTCGGTTGTCTTGAATCATTTCTTAAAATTTCCTCCCAAGTACTTCTACTTGGCCAAGGTTGAATTAATTAATTCCCTCCTGAGTACCTTCACTCGGCCAATGATGAATCATTTATGAAAATTCCCTCCTAAGTACTTCTATTTGGCCAAGGTTGAATTAATGAATTCCCTCTCGAGTACCTTTACTCGGCCAAGGATGAATCATTTATTAAAATTCCCTCCCAAGTACTCTTACTTGGCTAAGGTTGAATTAATTAATTCCCTCCCGAGTACCCTCACTCGGCCAACGATGAATCATTTATTAAAATTCTCTCCCAAGTACTTCTACTTGGCCAAGGTTAAATTAATTAATTCTCTCCCGAGTACCCTCACTCGGCCAAGGATGAATCATTTATTAAAATTTCCTCTCAAGTACTCTTACTTGGCCAAAGTTGAATTAATTAATTCCCTCCCGAACACCCTTACTTGGTCAAAGATGAATCATTTATTAAAAATTCTCTCCCAAGTACTTCTACTTGGTTAAGGTTGAATTAATTATTTCCCTCCCGAACATCCCTACTCGATCAAAGATGAACAAAGAGTACCCTCCTGGGTACCCTTGTTCGGTAAAGGATGTATGAAATATTCAATAATCCTGGATGCCTCTGTTCGGTAAAAGACGAATCAATTATTATATATACCTTACCTAATTGGTTGAAGTCATAGTTCTTCATAAATATATTAGTAGTCGGTTAATAATAAGACAAGCAATGAAAGGAAAATTTTGATATTCATTTGTCAAAAGCATTACAAAATTTGGGCACTATATAATGAAGAAATAAACCTACACTAGGTTTTATATAATGAAATTTACATAAGATTCTAAAGGCTTGTATAGTCGCCCACCCATTCGGATTGAGTTGTGTCAACGCTACATTCAAAACCCTCAGTACTCCCATTTGGAAGTCGTCAAAGGGTAGTCTTATACCTAATTCTCTAAACATATACTCGTATACAAAGAAGGTATCGGCCATTCTGACACCCCCTAAAAAGACAAAATCAGGGTTCACAGTTTCATCCCCCTGGCATGTTCTAAGAATTATGGGGTATGAATCTGAACCCTCCCACAGTGAAATGTCACAATGGTCTACAAAAAGTTAAAGACTCTTATTTTTCCTAAAGCGAGAGAAGTAGGCGGCCACTTCACCGTGAACCCACTCGTATCCGGGAATCATACAGGAAGGAAATATTGGTCTTTCCCTAAGAGGGCTAATACTCGGAAGGAGTTCGATAGATTTAGAGTCAGTAGAATCAGACGATTCAACTTCGTCATTGCATTCTCTAACTTGGACCCTTACTACTTCTTGATCCACCTTACTCGGTATTGAAGAAACTTCAACATCCCTTTCGATTTCATCTACAACTTCTACTTCGATAGTAGTCGACCTTGAAGTATTTGATAAGGAATCCTCTCACTCAATGGAATCGGCCATGAAGAAGAGTTTTAAAGTGAAAGGTAAGATTAAACTGAACGTACCTTGAAGTAGTCGGTTCAGAGGAAAAGAAGAAAGAACTCCTGACAACCAAACACTTGAATACCTCTCGGTTCAAAGCAAAAAGTGACAAATGAAGCCTGGACCACCACGTATTTATAAAACTAGAGGAGTCGGGCATACAAAGCATCACACCTCTTCCTAACCGTCAGATCTTTCCCAGATCTACGGATGTGATCACGCACCCCTTCATTTTAGAGGCACATAAAACGAGGAAACCCTAAATGAAGAAATATCTCTGACACCCTTTCGCTTAATATCATTATTCATATTATTTTTCTATTTTTTATTTTTTAGCTAAGTATGTATTCGGTTCGTGTCTCCTCGTCATATTTATCTCTCCATTAAACCGAATACCTCTTCGGTCTCGCTCACCTTTTCACCACAACCGAATACCCCCTTGGTACTCTTAACACTTGACTTAAAAACCAACTACCTTCTCGGTCTACTTAACTCTTTATTACAACCGAGTACTCCCTCCGTACTCTTATCTCTTAACTGAAACAGAATACCCTTTTGTCAACATGCCATGTGTAAGTATATTATTAAAGCCCTCGCATCGTATCTCTTCGGGCTTGGGGGCTAGTGTACTGGATAAGATAGTACTCGGTCTTACCTACAGAAAAAGGAAACTGAGTACCCCCTTGGTCAGGACAAGCCGAATACCCTCTCAGCCAGGATTAAAAGTAATTAACCCAATTAAAGGTAACAACCAAATTATTAATCCTCTCTAATTAAAGGACCAAAACCAGGCTGACTCAGCAAGCCCATTAGCCCATAATACTGTCTATAAAAGAAAGGTAGGAAGTACAGGTAAAGGGTTGACTTTTCAATATTAAGTAGCATTTATTGCTCAAAACCGAATCCTGACTTCAGTATCAGAGCGCCTTTTGCAGATACCCTCTCCACGTCAAGCCACATCAGCAACAGTCAGAAGGACGTCACCATTTCAGAACAAAGACCCGAAGACTAGTGTCTCCCTAGCAGGAACAGAAACCAAGATGAAACATGATTTTTAAAAAAATAATTAGTGGACAAAGGCTCCATTGAATAAAACACAAACTAAGGTTTGTTTCTGCTTGTTAGGCTCTAGATTATGGAGAGAAGAAATTGAGAGACATTGAGTGAAATCTGTGTATTTGATACATAGCAAAGAACTTTATTTAAGATCTCTAACTAATATAACATTATCTAACTAATAAATAAATATTTTATTTATTTATTTATTCTCAACAAATACCAATTGGGAACTGTTTCAATCCAAATGCAAAGGGCTTTTGAAATCCTTAACTATAAGTTTCCAACATTCAAGCTTTGTAATTAGAGTTTATCTTTATTCCTTTCTAATAAGATATCAACTTCCAATCAATTGGCATTAAAAATTTGATCTTGGAGCTTTGAGTATCGATTTTTGAAGATAATTCTAATAATTAATAGAGAGAGAAAACTTATTAGTGGCTAATTAATTTAGAAAAATACTTTGTGGGCAAGCAATAGCCTCTGAGAGTTGCTACTCTTGATTGGTGGCATTGCCGAGAACAACATAATCAAAGGTAAATTATAGTCCTTTATGAAGGCAATGCTCAAGATATTTTAAACTAAGTATAATCCTAATTTATTTGCATTCATTGGGATGAGAAATGTCAAGCCTAAGGTCACAACTAAGAAAATAAAAATGGCAAATTGGATATGGGAAACAGAAAAATAAAAATTAAAAAAGTTACCAATAAAATTTTTAAAGAATTCTAAAAAACTTTAAAAAAAAGTATTTATTTAACAAAATCTAAATCTAGTTGTTTAATTACACACGGTGAAAGTATTACTATCCTATAACATTCGTATACTTTATTAAACAGAAAATGGAAAGAAAAATTTTAAAATAATTAGATTCAATAGATTTTGATCTATGTTCTAACTCGTATTTTCGTATATAATAAGAAATTAAGACTATATAATTCAGGGGAGAAAATTATTTTAAAAGGTAAAAATTGAATATAAAAACCTTATTAAAAGGTGATAATAAAATTAAAAATAAAATCTTTTGAAGAGTATATTAAAATTAGAATAATTTCTCTGACAATATTACAATAAGTTAAGGAGTATGATGAAAATTTCAGTTTTATGATTATATAATATGTGAATAGAATAATTTATACATCAGTATTATTAATTGTTATTTATTTATAACATGTTTAATTTTTAAAATAAATTTGTAGAATAAACTGAAAAATAATTCATATCACATGAAAAACTAGATAGTATAATTAAACCAGTACAATACACTTACTATTTTACAATGGATGAATGAAATAGTAATTTATACATTATTATTATAATTGTTGATTAATTAAAGTAAATTAATTAAAAATAAAAGCATAAGATAATTTATAATTAAAGCAATTTGTTTGAAATTTAACTTTAAAATAAAACTTGTTTATTTTATTTTACTATTAAAGTATATAAAAATTCACATGCATGATTTTATAACATACAAAAAATAAAGTAATTAGATTTGTTAGGTTTAGTTATATTTCTAGAGAAGCCAATCAATATTGATTGGCTTGCTAAGCTTGGAAAATATAGATGTATTCCAATTGAATGCTTTGATACTCTCCCTACTTTCCTTTCTCCTTTTCTTTGTCTAGATGATTGTAGTATTTAGATACCAAAGTATAATCTTTAGGTCCTTTTGTTTGGGTATTTAGCCCCTTTTATTAGCAAACCAATTAAATAAATAAAGTAATTTATACAACATTATTTTTTATTATTATAGGAATTTTTTTCAAAAATTTATTTTTAGATAAGAAAATTTAAGAAAATATATAATTCTTTTGAAAATAAAATGTTAGATCATGGCACTTGACAATCCAGCCAAATTAATGCTTTTACGATTCTGTAACCTATAAATAAAGTTATTTATATATCACTATTATAAATTATTGCATGAATAAAAATAAAAAAATTATTTTATTTTTAAAATAAAAAAATTTACAATTGAATATACTTATTTGAATTTTATATAAAAAAATTATAAATAAAAATTTTTGAAAGGTATATTAAAATTAGAATAAATCCTTTGACAATATTACACTGAGTTAGAAAGTATGATGAAATTTTAAATATTATGATTATATAATATAATATGTAAATGACAGAATAATTTATATGTCAATATCATTTATCATTACATGTATTTATAAATTTTTTTATTTTTAAAATAATAAGATATTACAAAATAAATTAGAAGATAATTTATATCGCATGAAAAAGTAGATAGAATAATTAAATTAGCATTGTATGCTGACTATTTTTTTAAATGTGAATAATAAAGTAATTTATACATCAATTTTATAAATTGTTGCATTAATTAAAGTAAATTAATTAAAAATAAATGCATAAAATAATTTATAATTAAAACTATTTATTTAAAATTTAACTTTAAAATAAAATTTGATTATTTAATTTTGTCATAAAAATATATAAAAAGAATTCATATGCATGATTTTGTAACGTACAAAAGAAAAAATTATCTATACAACACTATTTTTAATTATTATAAGAATTTCTTTAAAAAATTTTATTTTTAGATAAGAAAATTTAAATATATATATCTAATTCTTTTAAAAATAAAATGTAGGATCATAACACTTGATACTAGAAGTAAATCGATGCTCTTATAATTTTGCAATATATAAATGATAGAATAATATATGCATTGTTATTATAAACTATTGTATGAATAAAAATAAAAATAAAAAATTATTTATTTATTTTATTTTAAAAAATAAAAAAAATTACAATCGAATATATTTATTTAAGTTTTACAAGAAAATGTAAAAGATGTTTATTTATTTTATTGTAAAATAAGAAAAGTCACATGTCCAACTTTACAAAATGTCAATGATAAAGTGATTTATATATTAATATTTTTTGCTTGAGTTATATTTTATTTTATTAAAATTACATGAGGCAGAACTTTTAAATTTTTAAATATTTTAAACACATTTGAATAAAGTATAACGTAAAAAATAAATACATGTTTACCTATTTTTAATCTTCTAAAAAAAAGTTTGTTCATGTATATAATGTTTACTAAACAAAAATTAAATTAGATACTTTCAAGAACACATCATACGATAACAAATAGTCAAAATAATTATAAATATTAAAAGAAAATATATTAGTATGATTAAAGTTTCATTCACTCTATCAACGGAAGTTGATTTGAGTGAAAAGAGGGTTTGATATTGCTTAAGTAAGGTATTTTACTATTCAAGAAAATAGATCAAGTTGTCCAAAAAGTAACTTCAACCCAATATTTCAAGTAAAGTAAAGGCCCATTGTTTATTTTACTATATCCTAGTGAATCTAGAATGTGATAAGCTTTCAAAACATGGCTGACCCAATCTTTCAAATATACCATAGAGGTTGGGTTTGATATGACAAAGTCATGACTGTAAGTGGTTAACTTAGTCGAGCACAATGGTTGGCAGGTTTGCAGAAAAAGAAACACAATGCACACACACACTCAGCAGTAATGGGAAGGCCAAATTAAAGATGGTGATTCTCATACTTTGACGAACTCAACAGAGGACCTCCCTTTCCTCTTCTTATTTTCTTTACTTCCAAATATTTCTTTTTATTCTTACAGTAAAGCAAAATGTATACAACTTTAAACAACACATTTACTAAGAATAGAGAAGTGGATATATAACGCATATATTTTGGTAACGAAGAAAGGATACTTGCCTAGAAAACCTTGGTTCTCAATACACTTGTAAAGGCAATGATGCCCTGTTTTGTGGCTAAGAACACAAAAGAAAGCAAAGCGCTGAAAGAGATTGAATGCAGCCACTAGTTTGTATTTTACCAGAGAGGGAAATAGCCTGCAGTAGTCGGGTTGGCTTAATCATAATGCTTCAAACAAGTGGAACACTTTTTCTTCAGCTGCCATAACTATTCACCATGAGGACAAGATGCATATTTAAAGTGCGTTCCAAGGAATCTGACTTCCAGGGAAGAATAATCTTTTATCGACTATTATTATTCTTGCAAATTCCTAATAGCTAGCAATGTCCAATGTATTAAAAAGTAAAAACATGAAGAAAGGAAAGGGAACAAGAAGCATACTATTGAATTTCAACCTCAATGCAACATAAAATGTAAAAGTAAACCCTCAGGGAAATGTGTCACCACAAGTAATACAATTCACGCATATACAAACATTATATGTGAAGGCCAGCCGCATAAATGGTAACATAGATCAAGATCACGGTAATTGAACTTAATAACTGTTAAAATGGAACACAGACGTACTATATTATCAGGAAACTATAACATTTGTTCTCCTCACTTAGTGGCTTGAGCAATTATATTACTTATTGAACTGGCTTCCTCCTTTGCAGTTTCAACCAATGAATCCTGAAATCCCATTTCAATGTAAAATGCATTGAACAAAACATCGAGAAAAAAACTTCTCAGCAAAACATTTAAGAAATAACAAGATTGTTCCATACCTGCGCAGCTATCAATCGAGCAACTGTTTTCTTGCTGGACTCTTGAAGCTCACCAGCAATTAGAATTTCATCTAGTATATAGTAGGCCTTCCACAAATAAAAACCAAAACAAACAACAGATCAGAAGGGATCTTACTCCACAACTACAAATTGGCACTGAATAGAATCAATTATCAAGGTTAATTCAGGGTGGATCTATATCAGAAGAACCACCTATAATGATAATCAACAAAAGAAAAACAAGTAGCCACTTTTTTTACTTTTGAACATAGACCATGATCCATGAACAAACCTTGTGAAAGTTGAATATCAAGTCCAATTCACAGACCTGCAAAACGCAAAACAATCATCATAACATAAAACAGACATCAGAAATCTTAAAATTCTTACAAAAACAATTGGGAGTACTGTACAGTTAATCAAGCAGTGCTCTTCAAATGTCTAATATGAGAACTCACACTGCCAAAATATCGATCAAGAATCTCCACGAAATGATGAATTATTTCAAGGATTTCTAACTCGTTGTCATCTTGATCAATGCACATGCAGAAAAAGAGACTTGCATACCTGCACCAGATAGGCATTAGCACCAACTCAATTAATCACCACAAGAGACAGAAGGGCGCCAAGAAAAGGAATTCACAATATATGACAAAAACCAACAGTCTCTCCGGTATCCTACCTTTTATAAACAACTTTATATCCTCTCCATTCAACAAAATTACATTGCTTGGGAGCACGGGTAAGAATCATTCCACTGAGCTCCCGGATTACCTTTCAAAAATAAATTACAAGTTAATTTACACAGCAAGGATAGCTAATTTATTAGATAATGCAACATGTTCAACAGACAGTACCACATTAACAAACAAAAAAATCTGTAAACAAAAATCAAAAGAGAAACATACCATGTTCAGCATGCAGCAATTTCACATATACATAAGGAATTGAGGATCTTAAGAAATTATCAAGTTCAAGTACTATGTTATACATCAAATAAAGGATAAAAATGTTAACAAGCTACCTTACTTCTTTCTTTTTGAGAATAAGGTGAGTACCATTTCGTTAGTCTCACCTTCCCTTGGCGACTAATGAGAAGCACAAAGTGGATCTACATAGCACAAACAAAGTATATTCAGTCATATTATAAATTGATACAAATTTCTAGAATATTAAAGTAAAATTCCAACAACAATAACAACCAAACCTTATTCCACTAAATGAAATCGGCTACATAGATTAGATGACGCCATTGAACTCGGTCAAAAACTAAATTTTCAAAAATATAAGACCAAAGCATCTAAGGTTATTTTGAGTCGCTCTCAACATCTCTTTACTGTATTAAAAGTCATACAATCCACTTTCCTCACTAGTGCCTCTAAAGATCTTCTTTGCATGTGACCAAAGCATCTTAAACAATTTTTAGACATCTTTTCTACTATAAATGTTGTTCCAATATTCTAATATATACTATCATTTCTTATCTTGTCCTTCTCATTTGACCACTTTAAAGTTCTCTTTTTTGTCACTCTTGTGATAGAATAATTGGTCATATTGCAATACTATAAAACTTTCCTTCCGTCTTAATAGGTAGTTTACAGTCACAAATAACTCTTAATGTCATTCTCTACTTTAACTACCCAACTTGTATTCTGAGTAACATTTTCATTAATTTTTTTATCATTCTGTATAATCGATCTAAAGCACCTAAATCTAAAAACGTGTAGTATAATACCATCTCTAATTTTAACTTCCAATGCATGATCCTCATCTTATTTTTTTACTAAACTTACAATGCATATACTCTGTCTTAAGTTTACTCAAGTGAAAATCTTTGGATTCTAAAGTCTTCCTCCATTACTCTAGTTTAGCATTAACCTCTTCTTTCAAAAACCATACATGTCTAAGACTATATTAAACAAGTAAGAGCTCAAAACAAAGCCTTGATGTAAAAATATACTTATTAAGAAGTCCTTAGATACACTTCCAAGTGTTCTTACACACATAGTACCTCTCATACATGTCTTGTATAACCCAAATATATGTTATACGAACCTCTTTCTTTTCTTAAGTCTTTCATAACACTTATCTTAGTACTATATACTTTTCACAAGTCAATAAAAACCATATGTAAGTCATTTTTTTTGTAACAATACTTTTTTATCATTTTTCGTAAAAGATATATAACTTGTATTGTAGACCTTCCTAACATAAAACCAAATTAATTTTTTGCAATCTCAATTGTCTCTCGTAATCTATGCTCAATTACATTTTCCTACGACTTCATTGTGTAACTGTCTCTCAATAGTTTGCACAATTTTGAATATCATCCTTGTTTTTATAGATAGGAATCAAAGTATTGTCCCTTCTTTCATCTGACATATTCTTAGACTTCAAAATCTCCTTAAAGAGCTTAATGAGCCACTCAAGTTCCCTTTTTCTTAAACTTATCCAAACTTTATTAGAGATATTAACCCTAAGAGTCCACGGTAGAAAAATAATCTACTAGAAAGCTAGAGAAGTGTATGGCAAATATCTTGTGGATATTAGTAGTCTCATGATAACTCTAGAATTTGGTGTTTCTCGTAAACATATAGGCGTTGAACCCAACCACTTGGGTGTGTTCTCCGAATTCAAGAGCCAGCAGTTCCTTGTATCGCATTTCCTATAAACTAGTTAAAAAATTTCCTCCAAAATCTCACGTCATTCTCCACCAAATTCATCTTATTAACAATACTTAACTTTCTTTTAGTATTATATCTTCATAATTTATTACTATCAGAAATACAGTTATAATTAACCAACCCAAAAATCTGCATTCCGGTGTTACCCTTAGATATGAATGCTTCATAATAGCTACAGTTAAGCATAATCAACATGAACTATTTCAACTCGTGTCTACCAAAATTGACTAGAGTCCAATAAGCATCAAATTTAAATGGAAAAATTTAGACTCGACCGGACCCAATTGGCAAGAAAGATCTATGACGCAGCCGAAGGGGTTTTATTTGAAGCAAAGATGGATCCGATTGGGATGAAAAATTCAGAGCTTGAAGAAATGAAACAAAGGGATGTGCGATTTAAAAGAAATGCAAAGAGAAGAGAAGTGTAGTGCATAAACCATTTGGATTCTGAATAAGCCTTCAACTGCAACTATAACCGATGACGATTCCCCAACGCCTTTGCGCTATTTTCTCCTATGCACGCTGCACACACCAACTTAGGCTTTTAGTATTTTTCTTTTACCTTTATTTACCATTCTAACTATCGAATATTTCTTAGTTCTTACGTTATGTTTGTAAAAACATAAGTAGAATGGTAAAACATAATTGGGGAAAACTAGTTGAATCAACAAATTGTTATTTTAGTAGTAATTTATAAATTTAAATATTAAGTAAAGAAAAAAATTGAAAAACTAATTAAAGAATTAAAAATAATATATTTTTTATATATCAGTCAAGAAGAAAAATAAAATGTGACTATATAAAATAAAATTCATAGCTCATCTTCTAAAACTGAAAACTCAAATATATTAAAAAAAAAACAAATAAGTATTTTAATTGACACACAGGTTTCTTCTAAGTCTAGCTTATATATTGGCTTTATAACATATGGGTCGGTCTAAACAAAAAAAATTGTAGTTAATTTGATTTCTCTAAATTGTGAATTAAATTTTGTTGGTTAATATATATATATATATATATATATATATATATATATATAACTATTTTTTTTTTCATATTTGTACTTTTTTCTAATTTTTATGTATATAATATACATTATAAATTATTTGTTTCATATGTCAACCAAATCCAACGTCTTAATACAACTCAAATTGGCTATATACCTAACCTTACACTTAGAATAAATAATTCTATATAAATTTTAATGACAAGTCTCTTTTTCTCGCTTAGGTGTTACGTATTTAGTTTTTTTTTTTTTTTCTAGAAAAAGAAGATAGTAGAGATTATCAAAGTAGAAAAAAAAAACATTTGGACTTAAAAAATATTTATGACTGTCTTACATTAACTTATAAATATCAAAATAATCGTTGAATATGATTTAGACAATAGGCTCCTATCATCACAAAAATATTAAAATAGAATAGAATAACTTATCATGTTTTATTTAATTTTTAATGTTTGCTTAAATAATAGAATATAATATTTTATCATGTTGTGTTATTTTATTCTAATAGTTCAAACTCTTATCGTGAAAAAGGTAACAAATGTCATCACGGTATGATAACTTAATTCTTATCCTTCTTATTCATATATCATACCCTTTTCAATATTTTATAAGAAAAAAGTTTAAATAATTAAAATATATACATTTTTACTTTTTATAAAAAATATTTTACTCACTTTTTAATATATATATATATATATATATATATATATGGAGAAAAATAAATTAATTAAAAATTATTAATTTTTATAAAATAATTATTTTATCATTTAAATATAATTTATATTTTTTATCAATGTTAAATATTGAATAGGATGACATAATACTATCCTACTTTACTCTCTTAAGGTTTAATGCATAGGACAAGATTGTTCTTATCAAATTTTTTTCCTTATTCAACTTTTATATTTTTATGATTTTTTATTCTATCATATTTATCATATCGGCACTGAAATTTGCCTTTTACTTAAAGACTAAAATCAAAGTTCAAACACAACTCAAATCAATCAAAAAGAAATTTGAATAGGTCTTCCTAAAAAATCCTAGAATTGATGAAGAATTTTTTTAACATTATCAAAATTTTAATATAAATTTATTATTTATTTATTAAGTATCTTTAAGTACACATTAGAAAAATAAAATCTAAAACTCAGCCTAATATTTTTAGCTCACTTAATAGATATGGCTTAAATGAGACAACTCATTTTATCAACTTTACATTTACTCATCTTAAGAAGAAAAGTGATGGTTCAATTTTTTTTTACCTATCAAATAAAAGACTTTTTGGATATATAAAATCAACGCTTTTCATATAATATATATTTTCTTTTAAGTGAACCCTCTTGACACCATTTGACAACTGCGTCAAATTTCTCCAAATGATTTTACCTTTTGTTACGTGAATTTTGATTATGTCACTTAGTACTAACTACTATATGTTTCTGGTAGTACTTTTAATTTTTTAAAAGTTTCAAAATGATTATCTATTATGATTATTATTTTTAATCTTTACTTAAATTTTATGAATTTTTTCTTCTTACTGCTTTATCCATTATATTTATTATTTCTTTTACTCTTCTTTTTTTTTGTTTAAAATATATATATATATATAATTTAAAAATATTTTTCTAAAATTTATTTTAAGGTTACTTTTTACTTCAACTATTATTTAAATAAAATTATATTGTTTATTTGTATAGTAATAATAAGTTCATATTTAAATAATTGAAAAGATGATTTTAAAAAAATTATCTAGATAGTTTTACCTCAAAGATTTTCTATAAAGATATGTATAGTTTTACCTTGTGTCTTTACTTGTTTAATATGTCTTAAACATGCTTACGAGTGATATATTAAAATTTATCATTAAATGTATATTCTTTGCATGTGATATAATACTAATTGAGAAATTAAAAGATAATGTTAATACTAAATCCTAAATCATGTTATACTACAAATCTCCAAGTTCAAGTGCAAAGAATCAATTATATAAAATTATAAAGAAATTAATAAAAATGCTATTCATAGAATACAACATGGGTGGTTAAAGTGGAAAATGATATTGAATTATTTATAATTATAAAGTACATATCAAATAAAAAAGATTATACTGAACCTTAAAGAAACAATACAAAAAAAAAAGTAAGAATGATAGACCTAAAAATGTTAAAATTAATGAGTAGTTATACAAAAAAACAAAATAAAAAGTATTATATATACAAAAATATTGAAATAGTACTTAAAATGAAAAAGATGACATAAATGGTCTAAAGTGATTTATTTACTTATAAAAAAGCCCCTAAAGCTATCAAAGAGGAGAGGGAATAACCTAACTGCTAGTTTAATAAAAAAAAGAATAGAAGAAGACCTATAAAAACTTTAAAGTAAATTATTGAAAGAAATTTTAATAATAAATAATATTTATAAAAATTTAATTTTTGACTAAGTTAATTTGTATTGTGTAATTTGTAGTTAACCTCATTTAGTGAAATGTGACAGTTGTTGTTATTTTTTTTTTAGTTATTATTATTTAGATAATTGCCTTACATTAAAATAAATATTATTCAAATAAAAAATATGAATATTTTAAGTATGTTAATAGTTGTATTTTATTAGAAACATTTTTTTAAAACCAGAATCTCGAGTTAAATAATATATATACATATATATATATATATATATATATATGTATATTTAAAAAAAAATTATAACATTTCTTAAAGAGTTGATATAGATTTAGTTTGGATAGATTTATAGAAAAATCCTAATAAAAGAAAAAATTGTTTTAGAAATTAATAAAACTTCTCATATAAATTAACAATTTATTTTTTAAAATTTTAAAAAAATAAATGAAAAAACTTCTTAAACAATAAAGAAATATAAATTATTTCTAACTTATTAAATAAGTTTTATATTAATTTTTTTATAAAGATTTTTCTAAAATTTATTCAAATTGAGTTATATACTTTTATGTAGACATATTAGTATTAATCTTTAATAATGTAAAAATCTCACCTTGATCCATAAATATAAAAAAATACCAACAAATTACTAAAATGTCTAAAGAGTTTATACTACTAGGAAGACGTAAGATTTTATTTTTATTTTATTTTGGTAAAAGATTAAGGTATCTTAAACTAAATTTCTCAAACAAATTTGTCGAATGTGAGATTTTTGTATTTATCGACAACTATTGTATTCTAACATAAATTTCTCAATTCTAAGTTAAAAAAAACTTGACCGCGTCGCTTGATATATATAAGCACAAGTACAGATGAGCGGCTCGGTAAACATTAGATCTGATAATGAATCAAATGACGTCCAAGCATAAATATCCTTGAGTCATTCTCCAAATGAATTGAGCAAAGTCAAAAAATGAAGAGGAAAGTCCACCAGACCACTTGAACAAAAGCTCTGACGACTAAGTCTAACCTACTTAACTACAATGATGATTAGTTTAAAAAGAAAAGCTTCCAACACTTATGTTCAGACATTAATCCTGGAATTCACCTTTCTCATAAGGTTCTTTATATCGGCATCCAATTTGGCTCTCGCCTGAGGAGAAAGACTATTCCCTGAATTCTCCAAGACCGATGCCATCATCTGCAAGTTTTGCTTAATATACTGAAGAGGAGGATGTGCCACACCAGCCACTGGCATTGGCATGAACCCAGTTGGTTGAGTGGGGGTCACAACTTGCTCCACCGGCGGACATGCCACAGAAAGATGTTGAAGCTTGTACTCAACAATAGTCAAACCACCCAAGGCAATTAGTTTGTTCTGCTCGAGACTTCGAAATGCTTCTGCAGCATCTGCACTTCTAACAAAAACAACTTGTGCACTACCAGTGTCTTTTAACATCTGAGTTTCAGATGCCTTCAAGGGACCAAACCGGCAAAATGTAGTCATTAAATCTTCTTTTGATGGGATATAAAATCCAGCAGCGAAACGTAGGAGAAGACAGGTTCCAAGGGATTCTCCATTGCCCTCCACTCTATTGTTATTGATAGTGTTGTTAGGTCCTGAACCAGCAGACAAGCTTCTTGGCTGCTCTGATTTGAATTCAGGCGAAAGGAAATTTATTGTCTTAAATTTGGGGCTGACTGAATTGCATTCAATGCTAGTACTGTTCAAATCAGGAATCTCTACAGCAAGTTTAGTATTGAGAGGCTCTGGTGCTGCTTTCTCCATTCTTTTCTTCCTCACTGTTTTATTTACTGAAGCAGAACCAACCTCAGGAGTAGCCAACAAGGTACGATTAGTAACATTAAAGACAGGTCCTTCTTGGGAAACACATGATTCTGGATTTGAAGCTATGAAAACACGTTCTTTATTTTCATCACTACTTTTCTCAGGAAAAACAACAGGTACATGTCGGGATCTAAACTGCAGATCTATTACCAGGGAGTTGCATTTATGGCTTTTCGCATCTGTACACACTGAAGTAATTTCAGTACTTTGTTGCTCTTGGGGAGCTTCAATCTTCTCTCTCTTTATATGCACAACATTTTCTTCAGAAGCAAGGCAAATCAGATTTTGAGGAGCTTCAGGAATTGAGCTGTAATTGCTGCAGGTCTCATTTAAATTTATCTCAACATTTTGTAGCTGATGTGATGAAGTTACTTCTTCCACCTTCCTCTTTCGCTTCAGTTTTTTCCCAGGCCTCGGAGTGCCCCCACTAGAAGTGTTTCCATTCAAATCTGATAGACCAGAAAGTGATTTTGTCTTACGCCTTACTGCATTTTCCATTTTATTGTTCTTTCTCTTCTCACTTTTGACAGCAGGTAAATCATTACCCACATGTTTCCCTATTTCTCTTCCATTCTCATTAACCAGGGATGTAGCAAGTTCAGCCTCGTCATGAAATGCTGATACTCTATATCTGCAAAAGAACCACTCGACCAAATCAAAGCTTTTATCCTCAACAGGAAACATACAATCAACAGCTGTAGAATAAAGTCCTGAAAGCAATTCATTGGGAGATGCATTTATGAATTCTGGACTGCCAGACGTAGAACTAGAGCTGATGAATTTTCGGTGCCAGTTCCTTCGGAATCTCTTGCTACCCAATTTAGCATATGAAGAAGATCCATTTAATCGGCTAGTAGTTACCCCTGAAGCCTCTGCTCTCCGAGTACGAGATGGTGTCCTCAAGTCTTTTGTTTCAGTAGGCAATTCTTTTTCTTTTTGTCCAACGTTTGTGTAGGGGGAAGATAAATATTTACTTCTTCTCCGACCTCTGGAATAGATGCCTGCTGCAAAGGAGAAAAAATGCCCAATCAACATCTTGTAGCCAACCATTTCAAACCGCAAGGTCAGGTTGTGTATTACACCATATTAAACAGTAGCCAACCGATTCACAAGCATTCAACATATTATATGACAAATATGAAGAGGCCACTCTCAATACAACAAACATAGTACTGAAGCAACTCATATGATACACAACCACAAATTACACTGGGTTAGGTTAATATACAAAGCGCTCTTGCTCTTCGACAGATGAATCAGGCACCCATGGGGGAGTAACTGCATGGATTAAGAGTTTAACACCTAAAAAAATTTCTGGACATACGTATACCAAGTAAGAATCAGAAACATGCCAAAAGTCCAAGTCAAAGTGACATTTTGATATTCTGATATGCGTCACATTTAAGAATCAGGAATTCTACAAAAATACATATAAACTCTCTAGATTAAGCACATGAACTTTTCGCAATCAAATGGTCGAACAATGATTTATGCACGACACCTGATAATTTAAGAACCTACACAAAAAGTAGAAAACCAGATTTCCGTGAAGGGCATGACAATCTTTGAAAAGCATTCACAACCAGCATGCATAACTTAACATCTCAGACAAATGAGATAATAACTTCAACACGAACAACTTACAGCCTTTGACTTTCTCCACTGCTTCTTCAGTCACGATGATGTTTTCATTCTTTTTTGTTTCATCACCCGAATTGAAATCCACGCGCCCTTCTGTCTGATCCATATTCATTGCAACCTTCTAAAACACTACCTCACACAATGCACAACACAGCCACGATTAGCAAACCACTCAGAATGGAACAAACAAAGACTGAAGGAACAAAGAAAAATACCAAAAAACCTCGTACCAGTTCCACTTACGAATCAATTCTCGAAACAACACATGCATGCAAGACACAAAAATTTTAACTTACACAAATCCTCACACTAAAACAACAACAACATTTACGTTATCAAATATCAAGACATGACATCCATTAATTACTCACAAAATAAATAAACAAATGACCTGCAAAAAATAAAATATCATAATACCCTAAATTTTATACACAAAACGCCAATTATAACAGAAAAGACAAGGAACAAAAATGCAGGTCCCAAACAAAAAAGAAAAAGACATAGCTTAGGGTTTGAGGGTACCTTGCGAATGGCAAAATGACAGCGACTCACGAATTGCAACAACAATGTTCCTTTGAAGAAAACCCGTGCCAGTAGTTGAAAGGAGAATAAGAAAAGAACGACGCGTGATTTGTGTCTACGGTTGTCGTTCACAGTTAAACGGCGAAGATGAGGATCCCATCTGCGTTTACAAGAAAGGAACCACAATCTCCATTGATGAACCAAAATAGTTAGAAAGAGTGGAAGAGTCAACGAAGCTTCGGAAAAGAAAGAATGAGAGTGGAAGAATGTGAAACCTTGCTTCGCTTAACCTCAACCCTCTCTCTCCCCTTGAGTCCCTCCACTGCAAGAGACGCTGAAGCAGAACAATAAACGCTATTAATTTGCATAATTATAACGGTTCGGGTAACCCGAACATTGACTCGAACCCGTCGTAACCCGATCCGGTCTCTCTCCGACGTTAACCTTTCCACTTCCTTTCTGACCTAATAAACCTTTCAACTTATTTTCTTTGTCGGGTCGGGTCGGGTCGGATCTCGACCTTGCGGGTCACCCCTTGATGCCGCTATCAAAGTAACTAAAAAATATAACAAAAAAGAGGTAATTAAAAACTAAAATTAAAAATTGAATCGCCGTTTGCAACAAATAAAAGATTCTCGGAATCGATTTGTATTTTTTACTTTTTAATTTATTCTTTCTAACGGAAAGACATGGGATATTTTATTTTCTTATTTTTAAAATTTAAATTCAATTTTTAAAAACTAAAATTAATTGTGCACCTTTTATAATTTTAATTGTGCATTTTTAAGTCTTGTTTGAATTTAAATGGTGATATGTTCGTATATTAAATGAGAATCGCTAAATTATAAAAAATTAATAAATAATTAAATATATAATTCATGGTTGTTAAATATACGGAGGAACAACTTTGTCTACTCAGTAATTATATCTCGTTTGAAAAGTACAATGCAAGATTATTTTAAAATTTAATAAATTTTAAAAAAAATTATGATTATTAATAATAATAATAATTTAAACATCAATTAATAGAGTATTGTTTTATCTTAGTCTGTAATTTTGAGTTTGAGTCTCAACTAATATAGTTAAGTTAATTATTTAGAGGGAGACTAATGATTCTACTTTGCTAAAATATGATTACTTTTAGTTAATGATATTGATGGTTTAGAAAAAAAAAGTTAAATTTAAATTATTAAAAATTAAAATTTGAATTAATATTAAATTTAAAAAATTGATTTATGTAAAAAAAAAATATTTTGCATGATGAGAAAGAGAACCGATTACTGAAAATGCTTTCATTTGAAAAAAAAATTTCTTAAATATCATTCAACAATTAATACTCAAAAAGTATACAACAAGTTTGATTGATATAATGATATATTAATACATATTCCACTATAATAAAAAATAAATAGATATAAACTTAAAAATAAATTAATAGCAAAAAAATTAAGAATAAGTTATAAAAATTTAATTTAAATTAATAAATATTTAATATAAAGGCACGATAAGAAATCTTTAATGGGTAAAAATTAAATTATATATCTCTATATATTCATCATGAGTTCTTATTCTTAAACAAAAATGTTTTCAAGAGTTATCTAAATGAGAAATTATGATATAAAATAGACAATTTTGTTAAATTCAAGTTTTTGTGTGTTTGGGTGTATAGTTGACAAATTAATGTTTTCTATAGAAAAAGATTTGAAAAGTTTATCTTAAAAATGTGTTATACTAGATTTCAAGTTACATCTAATGATGTCTAACAGAAATGAGCCTCACACTTCCTAGGTGAAAGAAAGGAAACAGTGTAAATTGTTCACTGGTATTTGAAAAAAACTTAAGAGATAAATAAATAAATATATGCAAGAGATAAGACAATTAAATTTTGAAAAATTAATTGAATGTTAAAAATATAATTAAAAATAAAATTAATAATTTATTTAATTAAATTTATCTTTATATTAAATCTAAGTTCATTTATAAATAAAAACATTTTTAGGAATAATTTTAACATGACAGTATTTTTAACAACTACTATTTTCTTCATTATATCATTTGCTTTTATTTATGTTTAAATTTCTAATTCAATTTTAATTTTTCTATAACTTTTTAAATTTTAAAATTCTTATCACTTTAATTTTTTTCTACTTAGAATATTTATTACTTAATATAGTAGAATAGTCATACATTATATATTAAAATTTTATTAGATATACAAAAGTATTTAATAAATTTAATAGTCAAATTATTTTTTAAGCATAAAATAACATAAAAGATATATTAAATTATTTGATCATAATTTAAAATTTAATGATTATATATGTGTTTAAATGATTTTTTTCATATTTAATTTACTTTAAATAGTTTATAACCTTAAAAGTTAGGACAATAAATGTTTACTTATATTCTAAATTTTTTATACCCTTTTAAAATAAATACTAGTTTATAAACAGATTAATATTTTAAACTTAATATATAAATAAATGACATTTGATTATACCTATTGAATTCTCCAAAAAAAAAACACATACTTTTTCAGCAACTGTTATGAAGTGTTCACGTTATAAAGTTGTTTATTATTATTATTATTTATAGGTTTTAGCGGAATTGGATTACATACTTAGACTGCGACTTTGATCATCTTTTTATATTTTACTTTTTTAAATGAAAAATATTTTAATATATTTTTTATTATTGATTGGAATTTATTAAAAATTACAAAATTATATGAATATCATTCATAATTTTATAGATTTTAAAAATTTTTAATAAACAGTATAGTGTGTTTTAGGAAGCGTGTAATGCTAATATTTCATTTTTTAAACATGTTCACATTGATTGGGTTATTATGTATGTGATTCAGTGAATTGTTTATTTTTAGCAAAAAGAAAAAAAAAAGGGAGAGGTAACTTAGGTAAACATCTGTGTTGTTTGATTCAATTTATTGTTTTTCTACAAAAATTTGAATTGGCAACTCATGACAATAATAAGTATTTTAAGGATAAGTTTTGTAACGAGTAACAATTTTTAGGTATGACCATATCTTAAGTATCATTATGTTTGAATTTGTATGAGTGAAGGATCTTGGTGTTGTAATAGAAATTAAGTGATGTCTCTCATATTTAATATTGAGAAAATAATTTTTTAAATTGACAATTGTAATTTGTAGTGAATGTTTGATTGCGATTATGGGTGTTGATGTTTATCAATGCGTCATTCTTTTATCTGTTTAAGATGCAAGTAATTGGTTGTACTAATTGTTTGGTTTAGGTTTAATATTTGATCTAATATTTAAATTGTATGAAAATTCATTTGTTTCCTATTAACGAGGATATAGATATCAGAGCTTGAAGTATTGAGATTTTTGGTTTAGAGGAATGGGTAGTTGATTGTTGAGTTAGTGATTTTTATTGTTTATAAGTCATTACATTTTATGCTCATTTTGAATTTAAATTTTATGACAAAATGCTTATAATTTATTTACATAAGAGTTTCCCATTATCTTGTTGAGGGTGTAGTTTATTTATATAGAAGGGAGGTTTTAGGGTCCATTGCAATCTTGGTTCTGATATAGGTTGTGAAGTTGACTTTTGAAATTATTGTGTTTATCCTATGAATGATTTAAGTAAAGCTCTTGCAAAATAACTACTCTTAGTTGATGTGAAGGTCTGTCACATGTATATTATATTTTTTATTCTTTTGTGATTTGTGAGAATTAATATTTAAATTTTCTTTTTAATTTGTAGGGTTGCAAAATTGAAGCTACTATAAAAAAGGCAATGATAAAAAACAATAAAAAATTACCAATGTCATTGTTGAGGGTGATATGTATAGGATGTGTTTCTTCAATGCGTTGTGAAATGTTAGTAGAGTATAAGATTACCAGACACGATTTCAAGCTAATGCTCCATACAAAGTTGAAGATTATTACTTTTGAAAATTAATTTTTTTCTTTGAATTCTCTTTAAACTCTCTTGCGTGAGTTTTCAAATTGTTGAAGAGATAATAAAAAATTTTAATTACGCTTATAATTTATTTTAATTTCTATTATTAGTCGACATTATTTATAAGGAGGAATTAACCATTTGTTTATAATTAATTTTGGTTTATTAGGTGTAATAAGTGAATGATATTGCTTTATTTTTCACATATTATTAGTGTTTAGCCAATTGTTTTAATGAAAAAGAAATACTTTCAAGGTTATTGAGTTAAAATTGCTAGATGATAGATAATTTTTTATTTAGTTTTTCATGCTTATACCTTGTGTTAATTACATGTTTTACAATTAAAAAATAGTTGTTTTGGGTGTTGAAAATGAATGTCCTTAGATATTTTTCATTTTAAATACTTATATAACCTATCCAATTTTTTGGATTTTTTATTTTTATTTAAAATATTCTTACATTGCCATTACTTATTTAACATTTTTATTTTTTTTATTTTTATAATAATCATACAACTCATTTTGTTTTTTTAATAATAATAATAATAATAATAATAATAATAATAACAATAATAATAATAATAATTATTATTATTATTATTATCTATTTTTTAACTTTATAAGTGATTGTACTTTATTAAGTATATATCATATATTTCTTTTCGAATAAGTGTTACTAACACATATCTCATGAAAAAGTTAAAATGGATAAGGAAGTAATGTTATATTGAATCCTATCACTCTTGTCCTAATTATAATCTTAAACATCTTTTTGATTCAGTTGCAAGATCTGTAAATATTTCTTATCTTTAACTTCTTGACATTAGATTTATGTTATTCTTTGGTTATTAAAAGATAAAAGAAAAATATAATAATGAAGATAAAGGAATAAGAATTCAAAGTTAGATTGAAATATTGCTTATCTAATATGTTGATTCTTTGAGCTTTGTTACATTTAAATAAATTGAGTGAAATGAATTGATTGTGTTTATTATTCCAAAAACTTGATTCAAATCTTAAGTTGATTTCTAACTTTATTTTTTATTATCTTTATTCTATTGGCATGTTGGCATGTAAGCACTTATTATTGATTGATTTTATGTGAATTGATTAACTTGATTCGTGAAACCTTACTTGTAATAGAAATTTGTTAAATTATATGAGAATGATCAAGTTTAAAAAGATATATAAAGTAATGTGATGCAGTGAATCACACTAGGTATTAGACTTATTTAAGGGTATGGCTGACCAAGGTGAAGTGTCTAGATATTGGATTTGTTTAAGAGAACAATGCGTGCTTGTGTGTTGAACTTTTTTAAGGGCATAATTTGTGGTGTGTGGAAGCTATAATGACAATGAATTATACTTACCTATGAGATTATATATATAATTTTGAGCATTATTTATGGTAGATACTTTAAATTCTCATTAGGATGATGATTTGTTGTGAATGTGGAATTAAGATTTATAAAAAGATAAAATAAGAGAAGAGATATTCATGAAGTGATATATTTGGATGAGAAAAACATGTTCTTTTGATTTACTTATGATATTCCATGATTAGTGATATATTTATTTTTCTCACCTTTATTTCTTGTTTTGTGGTACACATATTTTTAAAGATCATAGAGAACTTACTAATGAAGTCACAATTAAGTTGTATTTTGGCATATATTTAGCACTTTTTAGAGGCTATTTAAATGTAATTGGTAACATTTTTTAACTAATTTTATAAAATAATTATTTTTCTAAACTTTATATAAGTTAATGAGTATTTGCAATTTTAACTTAAATTATTTAAAAATTACTCTAAGCATTCAAGTGCTTAGAGTCCAAATTACACAAAGTTCAAAGTTGGGAGTTTTATCTTGGGCATTCCAACACCCATAACACTCGCTCACAAAACCAACATAGTAAATAAGGCTTCTACAGGTTCTAATGTATGTTCACAAAGAAAATATTAGGTTTCTAATTATTGGGCGCTCCAATGTTCAAAGCTGGAGTTGCCACCAAAAGCTTGTGTGTTTAACACTAAGAATTGGTGTTGCAACATTGTAGTTATGTCAAAAAAAAAAAAAACTAAATGAAGACTTGCAAGCAGTCTAATGCTCAAGGTTTGTGTCATGATGTCTGATAAAACTCCAAACTCTATAAATAGATGTTATGTAGACTAATTTTAACATATAATCTCATTTTTTCATTTTATAACTTTTTGAGTTTAAGTTTAGGGATTTTTCTTGAACTTTTCTCTTGTCTTTTCTTTTATTCCTTAGTCATTTAGAAGACTTCTATGTGTCTATCCAAGTCTTTATGAATAACAAGATATTATTTTAGTCCAACTAAAATACTACAGTTCTAGTGGATTTGTTCTATGTTTGTAACACTAGATATTTTTTATATTTATTTATAATAAATATTCAAATTTTTAGTGCATATACCAACATAACAAATAAAATAAAATAGTTAATGTAAATGGGACCTACATTAATATTATTTTTTAAAATTCCTATGATGAATAAGTGAGTTAATCAAACACCAATCGTATATATATTGGCTTATAGTCAAACATGGTATCTCTTAGTTCATCTTAAGTTCTATTTGGTTCAATATATGTGGACAATTATTTTTATATTTTATTCTTTTCATCAAGTACAAAAGTGAGATTGAATAAGTTAGTGAATGCTTTCATCATTGTCTTATTAACAGTTTGCACAAAAAAAAGTAAATAATAAGTGAAAAGAAATAAAAAGAAATAGGTGAAGACACATGAAATAAAACAAAAATAGAAAGTGCCAACAAGTAACTTGAAAGGAAAAAGAAGAGAATAGGTTAATTAAGCCTAAAGTGATGAACTCCGACAAGCATAGAAATGAGAAGACAAACAATAAAAAGGTGCGCACAAAGAATTTTAATGAAATAATAGGAATGAGAAAAAGGAAACAAACAAGGAAAGAACTAAGTTTTATAAATGTTGAGATCCAAACAAAGGAGTAAGGATAAAATGGGAAAGAGGAAGGCACGACAACCAAAGAGAGAAGTAAAACATATTTAAAAAGTGTAAGGGGGGTGTTTGATAGAAGAAAGTAAAACATGCTCAGGACTAAATAAAAATAATCAGTAGACTAAGACAAAGCAATTAATTTCCAATGCAACAACCCTGCTAACTAACTATTAAATAAAAGCTACTAGTACAATCTCTGTATTGTCTAGCTAAATGTGAAATAGTTTCGGAGTTAAGAAGATAAGAAAAGAGAGCCTTCAGGAGAAAGATGGATGTCACCTTAGTCCGTCCTTTATGGTGCACTCCTCAGAAAAGGAAAGGAAGCTTGGAATAGGGAAGAAGATAGAGCCTGAAATGGTCACAATGTCAAGGAAGAAGGAAGTCATTATTAGTACTTTAATAAATGATCAAAGAGCTTACTATAAAAGAGGATATATATATATATATATATATATATATATATATATATATATATATGGAGAAAGATCTTCTTACACCCAATTTCAGCCTTTCATTTACCTTAAATCTAACGATTTATAATTTATTACTTTACTGACTATTAGATTTAAATTAAATAAAAAGTTCATATTAGGTATAAGAGATTTTAAATTTACACAAGTGTAAAAAGATTCTGCCCCTATATATATATATATATATATATATATATATATATATGAGAAAAAGGAACAATGGGATATGCTTTATAAGCTTACAACCCAAATTTTTTATTGATTATAATTCTTTTTTTCATTTATATAACTTAAGAACAACAATCTAATAAAACAAAAATAAATAATTTTTTTCTATTATTATTTGGTAAGATTCAAAAAGTGACTCTTTTATTTTCACATAAACTACTATTTATATGTTTATTTGAGTAACTTATAAAAATAAAGGAAAAACAACTTATAAAAATATTTTAAACTACTTTCATAAATTAATTCAAACATAAGTAATTATGTCATAAGAAAAACTTAAATAAGTTATTAATAAAAAATTTCAAACAACTCCTCTGACAATAAAATTATTTTTCTATTGAATTTTTTTGTCACAAATAAGTTCTTTATAAATGGTTAAAATTTGCTAATAAAAAAAATTGTATAAAGGCAAAAGTTGAAAAACCTAAAGTTCTTGCTAAGAAAGATTATGGTAATACACATCAACAAATACCATTAATAATTAGATTATAATTTAATACAATTATTAAAATTAAAAATTAAAAAACTAAAGTTTATCAAAATGTGTAAATAGATGTTTGGAAAGAGCAATTGGACCTATATAATTATAACACTTCACATCTTCATCACCCTAAAAGGAAGTAATCTTATCCAAAACATTGTTGGACCCGACAAGATATACGACGTCGTGAGGAAGTGAACCGAGGAAAATATCATTTCTTGTGTGCACTGCAGACACAGGGAGAGACGTCGTAATGGCTCATTCTCTTTCCATTGTTCAAATCATGGGTGCCTCTAATCTTCACAGTGCTCTGAATCCCTCAACTGTGTTACCCAAAAGCCTCTTTCATGGTGTGGCCCTCAAAAGATTAATGTTTTCAAGTGAAACTTCAGTGTGTAACAGGCAAGGCAAGAACAGCACTGCCCATAGCCATACTCACGCGTCTTTGCTTGAGGCTCCAGTTCTGTGGGCTGGTAGACTCTGCATCTTTTATGCGCTCCTGAAGGCTGGTTTGGCTGGATCTCAAGCCAACCCACTTGTCTCTGGTTAATTTCTTTCTCTTCCTTTACCCTTTCCAATTGCAACGCTTCATAATTTAAATGCTTCTTTGCTTTTCCAGATTTGGAAATTGGCCACACCGATGAATCTGCTGCTGACTTGGGATTCTCCAAATGGACCCACGCCATACTAGGAAAACCAGGTCTGTACCAAATATCATGTTGATTCCATTTTTCTTAATACTAAAACCGATGTTAATATAGGACTTCGCTAACTCTACCCTTCTTTTTCTCTATACCCCCTTTTTACTTTTCTCTTATTCTAGGTATAGGGCAGCATTGAAGCATGTCGTGTTTCTTCTAACTCGTTTAGCGTATGTGCTTTGTTTGTTGCTGTGTACATTAATGTTTCACATTCGTGTGGTCTAACTATGCCCTTGAGTCATTTCAGAGTAGTTTTTTAGAATGCCAGAGCATTGAGTTTGCTGCATTATGCTTCTTCAGTTTTTACTTCATGTCATGGTTTAGCAGAATATAGTATGTATATATATTTGTGGGTCAATTTAAAGAAGAATTTTGCTTAATCCGCTAACCTCCTACTCATGTAGAAGGTTAATATTTAATCCTTACCTTTTTGTCTTCTACATCTATAGTAGTAGGTAACGATGACTAGGATCATTACATGTCTCGGAGCAGGAATCAACCTGGTTTCATATGGTTTTGGCTGACTAGAAAGGTGCAACTATGGGTGTTTCTGGTCTTGGAGCTGGAGTTATCCCAGTTTCCCTTTTCTTAGCGATAGCTTCCTATTAAAAATTAGAGCTGATTGGTTTCTGACGAATGATGTAACTTGTACTGCAGTTTGTGGTCTGTATTGAATTGAAGGTCATTTCTAGCTTAGATTGGCTGTCAAGAGTAAAGTTTATTTATTTATTTTTATTTTTTTTAATTGTGCACACTCTTCTGGGATGAATATTTCTGCTGTGTTTAAGCTGGTTTGTGCTAGGTGGCATCATATAGGGGGAGTTACTCAGGGAGTTGAAGGCTGTTCTCGTTTAGTTAGTAATGTTGTCCTGCTGTTAATGGGGGATTGTGGTTTGAATGCTTTTGGACACAAGTAAAGGTCATGGTGATGTGGACACAATTGTGGGTCAAGAATCAGCAGCAATAGATGCAACATAACACATCATAAAATAATTTTCTTTGTTTCCTTTATTCGTAAAATCTCCTTGATTGATTTAGGATTTGTTTCCTTTTATTAGTTGAGACTGAGATCATATCGTTTAAGATTCTTATCATGATTTAGGTAATTTCCTTATATTAATATGATCATATCATTATCAAGATTTAGGATTTTTTCCTTAAATAAGTTTATATCATTATCATGATTTAGGATCTATTTCCTTTTATTAGCTATAAGATCATATCATGTAGATTTCTTTCCTTTATATTAACAGTTTTTAAGAGGGATTACGGACTGAAAGTATTCATAAAGGATAAGCTAATCATACTTAGAATTAGTTACCTCAAAAGAGGCTTTTGTCAAGGACAAGTCTAGTTCCCTTAAATTTCCTATTGACTATAGGTTGAAAGAAGGATTTTTACACTTCTAGAGTTGAGCTGTGACTAGGTCCTATCTGAAGGATCATAAGAACTGGTTCTCATGGGTGACATGGAGAATTTGGCAGCCAAAAAATTGGATGCCATTATGGAATAAATGGCTATGCAATGTGATAGGGTGCCAAATATGGCAAATACTATAAGGAAGGGTGATGGGCCTGTGTTTGGTGAAGGGATAGTTTTACTCAGTTTTACTGGATAATCTGATTAATAACACAACATATATAATTTGTTTCTATCATTGTTTTGACCTACCGGATTCGAGAAGGGAGTGGGAGTGAGGTAGGCAAGAATATTGTTGGTTTTTCTAAGGAGAGTTTACTCTCTGGAGGAGTCAATTACTAACTCTGGGAAATCTACCTTAACATTGTAGAGCTTGAGCTCTTTTACTAAGTTTTACTGCATAATCTGATTAATAACATAGCATATATAATATCAATGCCATCAAACACGGGTAATTCCACCTTCTTTGCCCCCATCCTATACTCAGTCAATGAGTCCGTCTCAGAAAAAGACTCACGACGGTCTTCTGAATGGCTAGTGCTTAATTTGGCAAATTCCTCCAATATAGTATGGATCACTCGAGCAGAGACACATTTTGAAGTACAAGAGTCAACGAAGGACGTGAAAGTACGCTTGGCCAAGTTAAGTATGGAAGGAGCCACCATTCACTGGTTCAATCTTCTTCAGGAGTTGGTGGATGGATTGACGTGGGATAAATTAAAAAGGGAGCTGATCAGACGTTATGGAGGTTGCCGGAGTGATGATCCATTTGAAGAATTGAAAGATTTATCTCAGACTGGGAATGTTGAGGATTACTTGCTGGAATTCGAATTCATATTTGGCACCCTATCACAATGTGTGTTGGAGGAGAAGATTGCAGAACATTCCATTATAATTGATGGTTCAGAGAAGGGATTGTGATGCAAAATCGTTTAGGGATAAAGGAACAATTGCAAAAAATATTTGAAAGAGAAATGTTACTTGTATTATTAAATGATCAAAAGGAAAATACATGAAATGATATTCCTATCCACAGAACAAGGCTCCTATCAGAGAGCGATAGCTCTCTATCTGTAATGAATTCCATAATCTTTCGCAAGATGCCCTCTCTCTCCTCACTCCATCCCAATAGAACAGAAGATCACTCAAAACCACCTTGGGCCCACACCAAACACACTACACCCCCTGCCACATCATCAATCCTTATTCTTCTTATTCCTTCTCACATCTACCCTCCAAGTGGTTGGCCTGTTTGATTGTTGCTGCACCAAATTTGCACTTGGGCCCATTGACTCTATTGGATCTCCAACAGATTGACTAGAGACCACAGTCAGACAACAGTGGACAGATTAAAATCAAGGTCAAGGGGACCCATGGTTCCAAGGTACTCCAAAATGGAATTTCCTGTTTTTTTTTTTTTTTTTTGGCACTGGCGATCCTTTAGGGTGGCTGAAACGATGTCAGATTCTTCACCCAAGAAAGAATAGCAGAAGGAGGCAAGGTGAGCTTAGCTGCTTTTCATCATTGGGTGAGGCACAATTATGGTTTGATCACATGGAGCAAAATGAGACATAACTTGTCTGGGAGCATTTAAAGGAGTGCTGTTGTGTGAGATCTGGACCACCATTGAGTAACAGCCCCTGGAGAGAATTTACGAACCTTGAACAGATAGAGTCTGTTGAGGAGTATCAATGACAATTCTAGTCACTTCTAGCCTACTACTTGATTGGCAGAAGATTAACATTGAGATGCAGCAACCAGGGAACATCAAAGTTGCCATGAATATGGCTTGGACATAGAACACAAACAAAGTGTTTCTAAAGAAAATCTAAACTCAAACTACCAAACCTACTAGTAGCATTCGCTCATAACCACTAACAAGGTTCTAATGAGAAGGGAGGGAGGCAAATAGTAAAATTGTTGGGAGCAGCAATGCAGTAGCCTCTTCCTCACTATTTTTCAAATGATTAACGAAGACAGAAATGGTGGAAAGGATGGCTAAGGGAGTGTGTTATAAATGTGATGACTCCTATTCAATAGGAGACAAAAATAAAAAGTTGTTCTAGATGAAAGTTCTCGGTGATGAGAGTGAATCTGAGGAAGGTGTGATGTTTTGAGCTTGTGGACAAGGTCAAAGCGGGCTTGGTAGTGATGATGTGAATGCATTTGTGGCTTGAGAATCAGGCAATCAGCAGCAGTAGATGCAGCATAACACATCAGAATTAGAATTTTGTTTCCTTTATTTGTAAAATCTCCTCAATTGAATTAGGATCTGCTTCCTTTTATTAGTTGAGATCATATTATTTAGGATTCTTATAATCTTATCATGATTTAGGATTTATCTCCTTTTATTAGATATGGTCATATCATTATCAAGATTTAGCATCTGTTTGCTTTTATTCGATATGATATATATCTTTATCATGATTTAAGATCTATTTCCTTTTGTTAGCTATAAGATCATATATAGATTTCTTTCCTTTGTGTTAACTGTCTTTAATAGAACTGATAAAATAATGGACAAGCAATTATACTTAGAATTATTTACCTCAAAAGAGGCTTTGCCTGTGACGAGTCTATTTCCCTAAATTTCATATTTACTATAGGTCGAAAGAAGGATTCTTATAAGTCTAGACCTGTGACTAGGTCCTACATGAAGGACCATCACATATTGTGCATTATGATACCTGACTGTGTTTTGAGGACTTGCTAGGAGGTCATTACTGTGTGGTATAATACTTTTCTCGATTTTGGAGACCAGTTAGTAGGTTCAGAGGATGATAGGAATTATGACTTATTTGTGGAAAAAGGGTCTCAATCAGACTTTCAGTCAACAATTAAAAGGGTTCAACAAAACTCAATTTTATTTAGCATCTTCTTCTTTGGGTCTCTATCAGAGGATGTCAGAAACCAGTAAATGAAAATGGAAGAACCTGAATTAAGAAAGAAAAAGAATGTTGACAGCTAGGCGGCTATTCCACTACTTATAGAAAAGTTAAGAACCTGACTTTTCCCACCACTCATCACTAACACTTGGGGCCTTACAGAGGACCACTGAAGAGAAAGGTTGAGGACTCTAGGAACAATCTCATATGCTTGGGACATGTGCTGAGGAGAAGCGATGAGCTATTTGCCAAGGATGTCTTCAACATTTTGTTATTCGGGGTGTGTTACACTATTAGGTTCCTGTGTTCTTTGATGAGATTTGTGGAGTTGGTTTAAAAATTGATATTTTATGTTATCTTATTATGGGATTACTAGTACTTGTGACAAGGATAAGCTTGAGGAGAAGTGTTAAAACGTTTTAGGGTTTTTGGTGTTATTGTTATTGGCTTTGGGCTTGTAATAGTAATACTAGTACTTTACCTAAATATTAGCATAAATATAATAAGACTACTAATATTAAGATATTCTAACATCAAACAGATCTGTCTATCATATTTTGTTTATGCTGTTAGTTGTCTTTCTCTCTTGAGCCTTGACTCTTTCAGTGCATGCAAATCCAGTGTGTTTCCTTGTCTATGTTATCTCTTATTGATGATGTTGTTGCAAAAGATGTGTTTTCAGTTACGGCATGTATTGTTCATTTCTATTTTTTTATTTGGTCAGCAAAGGAAGGAGCTAATGGAAGGAAGTCTGCTAGCAAATGGCATCCCACAACAAAGGGTACACTTAGAAGGAACTATAGAGTTCCATCCAAATCTGAGGGGCGACGACTTCTTAAAGCTATTGCATCTCTATTATCAGATGATGATCACTTTGTTGATGCCACCTCTCACAAGGTTTGCATTTTTCCTTAGCCCTGTTTCAATTTTCAGTCTCATTTTTTGGTAGTTCTCCTTTGTCAATATTGTGATTATGTTTTTCTAAATTCATGTCTCAAGACATGCTTGACTCAATACGCTGCTAATAAACAACCATTGTAGGGTTGCCAAATCCGCAGGGAAAGTGCTCATGGAGAAAGTGTGTGTTGCAACAATGTGAGAGCTCTTTTCGATGAGCTCCCAACTCCCCATCTCATTGTTGAAATCACACCTTTTCCTGCTGGACCGCTTAATGACAAGGATTACATTAAAGCTGAGAAACTTGAGAGGGTTCTTAGATCTAGTCCTTCTGTTTGAGCCTTCTTTGGTGTTTCATGCTTTCATGTACATATTCTTTGCTACTAACTTGTAAATATTTGCATGATAAACAAAAATTTCTATCCTTTCAACTCTTCAACATTTTACCTTTGAGTTGAATCATAGTTTCATCTCTCAAAGACAATAGCCTCTTTCCTTAACTAAGCTTGGTGTCTAAATTGAAGCTGTTTCTTAAGTATTTTCGTCAATGGTGAATAGTTGACTCTGCATACATGTCTTCAGTCTTCTTTGTCAGGACTTAGCGTTTCCTTTTATTCCTCTTGTAATAAAAAAAATATCAGTTAGATTTGGTTGAGAATTGATATGAAAAAAAAGGGAAATGTTAATATAAAAATTTAAAAATTCTATCTCATGTAATATCACATCATTATATTTGGAAGGAACATGTTTTCTCTCTTTACTTACATGAAGAGTGTAACTCACTCTACAAAGAGAGGAATAGAAACTTATTAGTTCTTCACATTTTGGTATGTATGATAGTCTGTTTTTAATATGGAATAATAGATTTCAATAATCAATTATTTGAAATTCTAGTAGTTACATATGATATTGAAAGGGGGTTTGGAAATTTGATTTAATTTGTTAGCAATTAGGATACCTTTTAAATTTCTAAAATTTGTTAATTTTTTATAAAAAAAAAATATGCAATGCACTTTAATTTTTTATTTTAAAAATGATTTTAATTTAATAATATTTTTTGTATAATACACGAAAGACTCACTGGTTTGTGAAGAGTAAGATTTGAAGGAAAAAAAAAACAGAATTTTAATATTAAAAGGAAAATTTGAAAGTAATTAATGATTTGAGTGTTTTATAAAATAAAAGATAAGTGATAAATAATGGTGAAATCACATGTTTGATAGAGATTAGAAGTCTAATAAGAAGTGTCTTCAAATTTAAGAGTTAAAATTCAAAGATGAATGAGAGTTGATCAGAAGTGGTGATAGCAGGAGTGAAGGACGAAAGTGTAGTTGGAGATGAAAATTATAGCATTTTTTGGTTTTAGGGTTCCAAAAAAGATTAAATTGACGGATTCCAGAGAAAGTTCTTTTTTACATTAATTAAAATCGAGGTCATGTGTATGTCTATTTGACATTTAACATGCTACATTAGTTATTTTGTTAGTCCAACTAATAGTTCATTATTCTAAGGATTAATATAATTGATGATTGTATACATTATAAATCAATATAACTATTTTTTTTTTTTTAATTTAGAGACTATTTTGATGACCTCTTGAAATGACAAAGATAAATATAGTGGTTTACTTGGTAAACATTTCTTAATTTGTTTTTTTATGATTTTGACATGTGCTTAATTTAATATTGTATAATTGTTATTGTAATAAAATATTGTACTGTACTTTCGTAATTCAAGTATTGTATGCTTTTCTTTTAATTATAATTTTATATATAAGTTACTTTAAATTATGATATTTTAAAGATTTTTTTTTATATTTATTTTATTAGATATCAACAAATATTCATTGATGCTCATGGATACCTGGTACCGATGTAAGTATGGGATAAAATTTTTAATTGTGGGTATAGATAGAGTACCTTTTATCTATTTCCTCTCTGCCCCATTGATATTTTGTTAGGTTCTCAGAGATGTCAAAGGGGAAAAGGACATTATTCGTCCTTGAATTTTATTGATTGTAAAAAAAATTACACAAAGGAGGCTACTCCTTTCACACTGGAATCTGTCCAGTTTTTTTCTATCTACTCAATTCTTATCCTCTTCTACCTAATAGAGGACTTATTTATACCAAACAGATGTAAAACAAATTAACCAATTAACTAACTACTACCGAAAACCTAACTAATAGGTCAAAGGATAGAATATTTTCAATTCCTATTTTTACCCTTCTTCCTATAATACACTTTTAATGTTCTATTTGTATCCTGTGGTCTAACAATATCTCTCCCATCTGAAACAACCTTGTCCTCAAGGTGAAAGTCTGGGAATTGAGTTTGAATAGCGGCTGAGTCTTCCCACGTCGCTTCGTCAGGTGATTTCCCTTGCCAGCAAATGAGAACTTGAGGGATTCTAGTGCCATCTAGGGTAAGCACCCTGCTGCCCAGCACCTTGCTAGGCTGATAGGGCTCTTGTGGAACTTGTAATTCTGCAGGGAGAGTTGCTTCTACCGTGTGTTTGCCCAAAGCTTTCTTAAGCTGGGAGACGTGAAAAACTGAATGGATTCGAGCATCTGCCAGTAGTTGTAAGTGATATGTGACAACTCCAATCTTTTTGAGGATTTTGTAGGGGCCATAATACCTAGTTGAGAGCTTGGGATGTAGCCTAGTAGGCATGGATGTTTGACGATGTGGCCTGATCTTCAAATAAACATAGTCTCCTGGCTGAAACTCCACCGATTTTCTATGCGCATTGGCATATTGAATCATCCGATTCTAAACGCGATTTAAGTGAAACTTGAGCTGTGTCAATGCTTCATCTCTATCTCTGAAATCTTGTGCTACCGCCTCAACCAGTGTTTCACCCGAAAGAAACCGTACTAGCAATGGGGGCGGTCTACCATATACCACTTCGAAAGGTGTGCATTGGGCCGAAGCATGAAAGGTAGTATTGTACCAATATTCTGCCCACGGGATAAAATCAACCCAAACCTTAGGTTGTTCGGAGCTAAAACACCGGAGATATGTTTCAAGTGTCCTATTTAAAACCTCCATTTGGCCGTCTGTTTCCGGGTGGTATGCTGTAGACATCTTCAGTTGAGTGCCCTGCCGTGTAAACAGTTCTTGCCAAAAATGGCTCATAAAAGTAGGGTCCTTGTCACTAATGATCGAAATAGGGATACCATGTAGCCTTATGATCTCTTTCACAAAAATGTCAGCAATAGATTTAGCGGAATAAGGGTGTTTGATTAATATAAAATGCCCATACTTACTTAGTCGATCCACCACCACCATGATAGCGTTGAACCCTTTAGAACGAGGTAAGCCCACGATGAAGTCCATGCTGATTTCTTCCCAGACCGCATTGGGAATGGGTAGCGGCTGTAATAAACCAGCTGAAGAAGAAGCTAGATATTTGCTGCGTTGACACACATCACATGAGGCAACAAATTGGGTTACAGTGTTCTTCATCCCAAACGAGAAAAGTATAAATTCCGGAGTGTCCACCTGTAGGTGAAGTGTGGAACTCATGTAATAATTTTGGAATCCATGAAGATGTGGCAGATAAGACTAACCGGCCCTTGTAGTGTAACCTGTCATGTTCCAGGGTGAAGTGTTTATGGGAATTGGAATCATGTAACAAAGCAGCTTTGATTTTAGCTAACTCCGGATCCCGTTGGACCTCTGCATCGATTTCTGTTATATCTTGCCAAAAAGGTTTAGAAATGCCTTGGAATTCCTTATCCTCATTGATTCTAGATAAAGCATCAACAACTTTGTTCGAAGCTCCCATTTTGTAAACAATGTCAAAATCATACCCAAGAAGCTTGGCAAGCCAGTTTTGTTGGTTTTGGGTGGTGATTCGCTGTTCCAATAAGTATCGCAGGCTTTTTCGATCAGTGTAGACAATGAATTTCTTGCCCAAGATATATAGGTGCCAATGCTGGATTGCAAGAACCAAGGCCATTAATTCCTTCTCGTAAATAGATTTGGTGAGGGTGGAATCAGCAAAACCTTTGCTGAAAAATGCAATAGGTCTTTTATCTTGTGTCAACATCGCCCCGACACCCTTTCCTGAGGCATCACACTCGATTTCAAACTGTTTGAAAAAATTTGGCATGGCCAAAATAGGGGCTTTAGTGACAGTTGTCTGTAATTTCCTGAAAGCTACAGTGCTTTGCTCAGTCCAATTAAAGTTGCCCTTCTTTAATAATTCGGTCAATGGCCTAATAATCTTACCATAGTCACAAATAAAGCATCGGTAATAGCCTGTAAGGCCCAAGAAGCCGCGAAGAGCTTTGACAGATTTAGGGAGTGGCCATTGTAATATAGCGTCAATCTTTTGAGAATCCATGGATACCCCATCTTTGGCAATAATGTGGCCCAAATACGCTATTTTTGTTTGACCAAAGCTACATTTATTTTTATTAGCAAACAAACTGTGTTCCCGCAACTTTGTTAAAACAGCTTTTAGGTGCCGCAAATATTTTCCCCAGGTGCCACTATAAACCAAAATATCGTCGAAAAAAACTAAAACAAACCAGCAAAGAAAAGGTTGTAGTGTGGAGTTCATGACACATTGGAAGGTGGCCGGCGCATTGGTCAATCCAAAAGGCATGACCAAGGATTCATAGTGTCCATGGTGAGTGCGAAACGTTGTCTTCGGAATGTCCGGTTCATGCATTCTGATTTGGCAATATCCGGCGCGTAAATCGATCTTAAAAAAATAGGAGGCGCCCTTGAGTTCATCCAACAGTTCTTCGATTACCGGAATTGGGAATTTGTCCAGAATAGTAGCTTTATTCAGAGTGCTGTAGTCGACACAAAATCTCTAGCTCCCATCCTTTTTCTTTACCAAAATGACAGGACTCGAATATGGAATGTTACTTGCCCGGTTTAATCCAGCAATTAGCATTTCGTTCACTTGCTTTTCTATTTCATTTTTTTTGCAAATATGGGTATTGATAAGGGCGTACATTGATAGGGTCCACTCCGACTTTGATAGGGATCCTATGGTCAGCGTCTTTGTGTGGTGGTAATGCTTGTGGTGTTAAAAAAACTGAGCTGAATTCGGTTAGAACTTGCTGCAACTGGTCTTCTTGGTTGAGGGTGAGTTGTAGGAGTGTGTCAAAGTGATTATTCCCTATCCAGAGGAAGGCCATGGATTCCATAGCACGTTGGTCCAGTTTCCTTAAAGCTTTGGCCGTGATTAGCTCCTTGGACAGGCTTGGGTCACCTTGGATTGTCACATTGCGTCCTTGGTGGACAAAACTCATTTGAAGGTTACTCCAATTGACTTTAACTTCTCCCAAAGTCATCAACCAAGCTACCGCTAAAATAATGTCAACCCCTCTAAGATCAAAGAGAAAGAATTCGTCTGTCATCGTGTAATCGCCCAATCTGATCTCCACATTGCGGCAACTCCCCGAAGATTGCTTACGGTTCCATCCCCTAGGCGTACAAAGGATGGTGTTTCGCGATCAACCTTAAGGCCCAATCGATCAGCCAACCTGTGCGAAATAAAGTTGTGGTTAGCGCCACTATCAATTAACATGAAAATATCTTGATTATATAAATGGCCTTTAAGTTTCATAGTTTGCGGGGTAGTCAGTCCTCCTGTAGAGCAGAGGGATAGGTCCAACCAATTACAATCTGGGTGAATGGTATCGTCGTCCTCTGGGCTTGGAATTGCCGAGTCGATATCATCTTCATCCGCTAAAATGAGGACCCTCAAATTCTTCTCCAGATAGCGGTGCCCCGGAGCAAAAGCAAGCCCACAATGAAAGCATCGATTTTCTTCTCGGCGTTTGATATACTCATGATAGGGTAGGCTCCGCGTGCCACGATTTTGGTGAGGGCCTCCGAAACTTGTGGCAATCGAGGTAGTATGGGGTCGATTTCCTCCTTAGGGTCCACAATTGCTGTTGTTGGCCACTGTAATGTTGTTACCCGAAGTTTCTATTCGTGAAACAATCCCATTGTTCCTGGAAAATTGAAATCCCGATGTGGTGGTACGTCCCTGGGAATTGCCATAATTGTGAACCTCCCGCATGGCGTCTTCTATGTCGTGTGCAATCTCCATGGCGCGATTTAACTCTTTTGGGTCATGGGGACAGACTTGGCCTCTGATATCAGCACGTAATCCCGCCAAGAAGTAACCCAAGATTTGTTCCTCAGAGCTGGGAGTGGCCTGGGCGATCGATAATTCGAATTCCTGGACATAATCTTCCACGGTGCTGGTCTGTCGGAGTGCCGCCAACCTTTCGTACATAGTACCTCTTTCACTGTCACCGTATCTCTTCAATAATGCTCTTGAAAAATCCTCCCAAGATGGGTTCTTGGCATTGTTACGCCAAAATTGAAACCAGTGGCAGGCATTACCATCCATACTGATGAAGGCGATACGTAACCACTCCGAAGGTTGAACCTGGTGCACCTCGAAAATTTCCCGCGCAAGCCATCTTAGGGGGTTGCTCCCTTCAAATGTAGGGAGAACGACTTTCGTTAACCAAGAATGCGTTGTGGCACCCTCAGTTGTTCCTTCGTCGTCGCTGGAACTAGTTTTGGTGGTACTTGAATGCCCCTCGTTAGTGTGGTTTGGTTTCTTGGTGAGACATTCCATGATGAGGCCACGAATTTGGTTCAAGTCAGGCATGTTTTCTTTGATGTAAGCAACATCTTTCTGCAGTTCCGTCAATTTGACACCGTGAGCCTTGAGTGTAGTTTCTGCTATTTGCATACGTGTGTCCATTGTGAAAAGGGAGTAAGCGGCAGGTCGGACCAATTGTTAGGTTCTCGAAAATGTCAGAGGGGAAAGGGCATTTTTCGTCCCTGAATTTTATTGATTGTAAAAAAGATTACACAAAAGGAGGCTACTTCTTTCACACTAGAATCTGTCCAGTTTTTTTTATCTACTTAATTCCTATCCCTCTCCTACCTAACAAAGGACTTATTTATACCAAACTGATATAAAACAAATTAACTAATTAACTAACTACTACCGAAAACCTAACTAATAGGTCAAAGGATAGAATAGTTTCAATTCCTATTTTTACCCTTCTTCCTATAATACACTTTTAATGTTCTATTTGTATCCTGTGGTCTAACATATTTCTAATTCATACTCTAATTAATGAAATTTCATTTATTTACTAATTAAGTTAAAACTACCCCTTTAAAAATGAAAAGATGACAAAACTTTAAAAATATCAATTTAATTCAAACTATAAAATATTAGTTTAGATTGGTTCAATTGTTATTATTCTCAAACTGATCTAAATTGAACCAATATCACCTCTATTAAAAATTGCTCCTAATTGATTTTCATATATGAAAGATATGCTATGATAAATATTTGTGCTATTTTTATTAACGTTACACAATTCTCCTTTGTCAAAATTGTGAGACTCATTAGATAAATGAAAAAACTCATATGTTTCAAAGATAAGGTCCCCATTGCCAATATCAATGAATAATTATATTAATTAAGATGTTCACAGATTATATTTGATCATTTTTCGATGAAAAATATTCAATTTAATCATAAATATATGTTGTGATTTAATTTGAATTAATTTAAATAAAATGTTAAATATAATTCAATTTGATCCAATTAAAAATATTTTTTTTATACTACCAATTAAAAATAATTTAAATTATACATATTCAATTGTTTATAATTTAATTAAAAGATGATAAATAGATTATCTCATGCATAGCTCTCTTCAAAAGTTAAAACTTTCTATATTAATGTTGTTTACCAAACCTATCAATTTTAACTTAAAAAAAAGTTATAGTAAGTTTTTATTTTTAAATATCTATTAATTACGTCCTTCTTTTAATATTTAAGAATCCAATTTTTGTTACATGTATTTGTTGGAGGGCTTGACCTGAAATCAAAGATAAGAGTATCATCAACCAATTTTACAAATTGGTGAGATTTTCTCAATAAAACTTTCAATGAATGGAGGATGGGATTTAGTTTAGTTTATCGATGGATACTCTTTTATTATGCTTTAAGATGCATACACAATATAATTATAAAAAATTGTATACCATCAATTAATTAAAAATTATCATATATATGACTTTAAAAATATTTATTATAAATGTCAAGAAATTTTAATTATATAACAACTATTGAATATCAATATAAAAATTAATCATTCGAACTTTGAGTTAATAAAATAAGTTATTCAGCTCATTCAAATTAGTCTGTCGCTTTACTAGGTTAAACTAAAAAGGCTTAAGTTTAATTTAAGCTACAAAACAATAAAAAAAAAAAGAAGATAAACTTTAGTTTTTGTGAGGTTTACTTGATTAAATTGAAATAAAAAAAAGTTTAAATTTAATTCAACCTCAAAATTTAAAATTTAAGCTTTACATTTTATTGGGATAGCTTAAGTTGATTTAATTGGGTAACCTTATTTTGTCAACTCTATTTATATTAAGGGTGTTCACGGGTCAGTTTGGTTCAGATTTAGAGAAAAAAATAATATGCACGGATTAAAATGGATTGATTTGATTAGGTTTGAATTTGTATAAAAAAAATTAAAAATCCAAACCAATTCGAACTAAATACGAATGAGTTGGTTCAGTTTGTATTATCGAATTGTTTAATTAAATAACCTAAAATAAAAAAACGTATAAGAAAATAAAAAAATATTAATTTTTTTATTTGAATAATTTTTGACACATAATTTTAATGTAATTATACAACATTTCAATATAAATATACAAATTTAAAATAAGTTTCAATTCAAAACACATTTTATTGCATGTGAATGTGTTTTTTTTTAAAAAAAGTCAACAGGTTAATCGGGTATGTCATCGGATCTACGAGTTAACTTGTACTAACCCATTATACAAATCAAATCATGTCAGGTTTGATCGGTTTGAATTGGATCGTTTTCCATTTTAGATTTGTTTGGATCATTGGTTTTATTAGTTTATCCGATCCAATGGACATCCCTAATTTACACTATAGCAATCTATTTTCAATTGCAATTATTTATTTTTATGCAGTCTATTTTCTGGATTTGTCTAATTAAATTTTTTTAATAATTTTAATAATCACATTTATTTATTTTTATCTTATTTAATGTAATAAAATATTTATTATTAATAATAAAAATACACATTTTAAAATTTTTTTATATTTAAAATAATTAAGTAATATATTTTAGGATTTTCATTTATATAATTATTTTATTAATTTATAATACCCAAATTTCCACCTTGATCTTGATCGAGCCCAGTGAGACCGAGTCCAAAGTCGACCCAATTAAATAGTATTAGTACTATAGTAACGTCTCGCATGAACCCTTGTGTTAGGTTTGCGTTTAACCTTCCCTTGCTTCGTGGCAGAGAAGAGTATAGCGAAGGGGAAACCAGGGTTCCACTTATAAGGTTTGTTCTATGTCACTATTCTTTTCTATAAGTGTTTCGCGTTTCAATAGAATTCTTCACCGCTGGGTTCTCTCATTTGAAGTCACAATCCCTTTTCAAGCTCTGTCCAGTCTTCATTCCTATGTTGTTTGGCGCACTCTCGCGATCAATCAAATATAATGTTATGAAAATTTAAGTTCAATTTTCGGTGTTGCAGTTTTAGAACGATGATCTTTCAGATAATTGATATTTGCCTCATACAGTAAATCCCCCCTAATTAGGTCCAGTAACAGTAAATATAATTTGGAGTAGAGAACAGTGCTAAAAGCACCTATGGTGCTGCTCCGGCAGACGAAACTACAGTCTTTAAGGTATTTTAGGTGCAATTCTTTAGATGTTTTTGGGACTGTTTTCTAATTAAAACTATAGTTTCACCTTGGTAATTTCTGACAATATTAAACGCAGACCTTTTATCAAAGTAAAACTGTATTTTTTATTAGAAACCAGCACCTAAGAAATTGTACTTAAGTTTTGTCCAATTGTTAATTGTTTGTCCATGAATGATCCAATACGAAAGTAGCAGGCTTCAGTTTATATCCTTTGTATGTCAAGGGCTAATATAGAAGTGGCTTATTGTTAATTGGACTGGGTTAGAATGAGCTTACTTTTGACTTCGACTGAGTTGAGTTGATGCACTTGAGTTAACTTTAGTTTTGAGGGGGAGAACTTTTCGTTGCAGCTTTAACTCAGAGTGGATGAAAGGTATTTATTCAAGAAAGAAACAGCAAAGGACTCAGATGATGGATAATGGACCAAAAGAGGAGTTGAGTTAGTTAGGGTCCAAGGAGGGAGATATGAGAGGAATGATGAATATGCAGAGCTAAAAGAAATAGAATAGTAGAGAATCCTAACTGAATGGGTGCAGAGTGTAGAAGGGAATCATGGCAATGGGGAGGAGAGTAGGGGCCAATTTGGTAAAATGTGGTTTTAGTTTGGTTGGCTGCTCCTAAGACTGGGACTTCTTTGTGGAGTCTCGTGGTTTGGGTTTTTTGTCACAATTATTCCTTGTGTTGCTATTTTTACATTCTTGTTTTTTCAGAACATTTTCTGACTATGTGGAGCTTTGGTTGTATTTTTTTTAATCAAATATAGTTCTTGTAAGTTTCCAAAGCGAAGGAGCTTACCATTGGTGGGAAGTCATGATTGACGTGCCTTACTGTTATAATTTGTGAAAAATTTTATGGTGTTTCTGGATACAGACAACGATGCATTGCCTTTTTTTGTTTTTGCTGCTATGGTTTATGTTTTCAAATTAAAGTTGCTTGTTAGAACCTCTTGAATCTCAGTTGTCAATGGAATATGCAAATTACAATTAAGGAGCACCTATATAAACTGTTATATGATAGTAGTTGAATGACTGTCCCTTTTTGGTTGAAACTCTAAAGTATATTTCATCATTTCTAAGTGCCAAGCCTGAGTAAATTTTATAAGTAACACTTCTTGGTCTGATGGCAGGAAAAGAGGCAGTACATATCTTCTTCCATATTAGGGATAAATCCTGACTCCAGGTTTCACATATGATTCTGAGTTCTGTCTTCTGCCTTTTTACCTCTCTCTTGTCTATTTTTCAATGAACCCTATGCAAAACAGCATCAGCATAAAAACCACATCTAAACTACCCCAAAGGGCGAAAAGAAAAAAGAAAAGGGATGTTGTAGTAAATAATCTTCATGTAGCGGAAACTGCATCAGAATTCTCATTTGCTGTGGCCAAAACTGCAGTTGCTCAGATCTGCCAGTCAGTAGGCTTTAAAACCTCCAAATACAATGCTCTTGAAACCTTAACTAATGTTTCCACTAGATATCTTGAAGCCATTGTGAGATCAGCTGCCTCTTTTGCTAATGCCTCCAATCGAACCGACTCCAACCTCTTTGACCTCATCAATGGCATTCATGATCTGTGTTCAGTTCAAGGATTTCCTGGTGGTTCAATGATGTACAAAAGTAACCTGCTAAGATCTGCAGCACTAGAAGAGATTATGAATTTCGTCAACCTCTCCAAGGACGTTCCATTTGCTAAACAAATTCCATTCAGAAATGTTTTTGGAAGCCAAAATCCGAAAGCAGCCGTTAATGAAGCAAAAACACAAGTTTTGCATGTACCAAGATGGCTGCCAGACTTTCCTGAGGAGAACTTGTATAAGAATTGTCAGCAGGTTTTGGCTAAGGAGAGGAAATGTGGTGAGAAATTGTGGGAACATTCACTGGCCACGGAAGATTACAGTGATGTATTACAAAGCAACGGCATCAATGGAAAAGAAAAGAAAGACGCGAGGATGGATTTTGCAAGGAAAAGAGAAAGAGTGAAATTTAAAATTGGAGGGGAAGAGGAGAAGCAAATTGGATTTGGTGTGAATATGATGAATGGTGTTTGTAAAGGAAGAAAACGAGTGTCTTGGAGTCATGACAAAATAAATGATTGTCTAGTTGAGGAAAATGAAGATGTGAAAAGATAGCATGATTGTTTTGGAAATGAAATGATGCTTGTAACTGTTCTAGAATGAAAAATGAAAATTTTCTGTAGCCTATTGTTGTGATTCAACCTAATGTATCATCAGGTTTCAATTTTTGAAACTTTTGTCACCAAGTAGGACCCATTTTGAGTTTATAGCTTACTTTTGAAATTTATGAAATTGTCACTGATTGGTTATCTTTTCAAAGAAAATGATTGGCTGGAACTTCCTTTCTAGCATAGTATCTGTATAGGTTAGTCTGCATCTTCCTTTATAATATAAAATAAAGGTAATTTGTTATTCTTAGTCTTAACTTAATTAGCTAATAATAGTAAAATTTTATTAAAAAAAAATATTTATTATATTTTTATAATTTTAATTTAATAAATTTGAATTTTTTTATAAGTTTTTTTATTTTAATATTATTATAAATAATTTAAACAAAGTAATTATATTTTATACAAATTGACGAACACCATTAAAATTTCGTGAGCATTGCTTTGCAATAAACTTTTAACCTCTCCTTGAAATTATATTATTATGTCAATTAAATAGGTAAATATTTATATTAAACGGGAATACGGATTTTACATGAAATGATAATAAAATTTAAATAATTTGATAAATATTTGCAACACAAAGAATAAGTGGTGTTTGAATTTTAAAATTTTAAAAAATATGAAAGTAACAACGGGGATGAGTCAAATATGTTAGAAGTTATAAATAATAAATACAAAGAGTTAAGTATAATACACATATTTTTAAATTATTTTTAAAAATAAGTTATGTAAAATTCTTTCTATTTGATATAAAAATTATCTAGTTAAAATTATGTAGTATTTTTTTAAAAAAAACAAATTCCTACTGTTCAAATACCTGAATTATAATAATTTTTTTACCAAAAGAATATTTAAATTGTAGTAATTTCGAAATACTTTATCTAAACACAACTTAAAAATTTTATATAAAAATAATATTTAAATTAAAATATTTGTCACAATAAAAGTTTTTAACATCTAAATCATATTTATTTATGTGTTTTTATAAAATATAATTACGAGTTAATGAAATTATATAGATGTTACATTCTCATCTATTCTATTTTTATTTCAACTTTGACCAATTTAAATAATATATTTTTAATTTAATTTTATTTCAATCTTTTTTCTTCTTTTTATGCTAATTAATACTTGCAACTTCATCTGATCAATCACATATTATTTTTATTTTTATTTATTCCTTTTTAATATATTATATTAGCATTTTGATGTATTTTATTTTATTTAAGTGTAGTATATATTTTTTTTATCGCAAATAACTTTATTATTTTTACATTTATTAATTATTTTTATTTATTTTACTTCATTTTCTTCATTATATGTTTTTTTTAATAATTATTTATTTTAGGACTTGTGTTCTTTTGATTATTATTTTTCCTTTTTTATAAGGATATTTTTTAATGTTTGTTCATTGTAGATTTGAGTTGAAATTTTATTTTTGTTAAAACATTTTTGCTTTACTTTTTGGAAGTATAGATGCATTAGTAATTAGGCAACTCTTCTAATTGCAACCTTTTATATATATATATATATATATATATATATATATATATATATATATATAGTTTCATTTTTTTCAAAAATATTTTAAAATATTTTAAAATAATTTTTTTTTCACTTTTATTCCTCTACCCTCCTCTGTCTTCTTCTCCTCCAATATCTCTATGTCTCTGCTGCTGTAACACTATTCATGTATTTTTTATGCTTTATTGACATCTTTATGTGATCTTTTTAAGTACCTTATTTATTAATTTAGTGAGTTTTCATTATCTATTTTACATCACACAAAATTGATTTAAAAAGGCAAGAAGTCTTGCCGTTTTAAAAATTAAATTTTATAATTATAACTTTAAAATTTAATTTCCAAAATTTATACAAGATGCTTCCAAAAATTAAATTTTAAATCATGTTTAACATGCTTTCAAAATTAGGATAATAGGAAATTCATTTAATGATCTCTTTTAATGTAAGTGCTTCATAAATGGAGATTCATTTAATATATTGTATTATTCGAGTACAACTCATTCCTTTATTTCAAATGATTGTGTGAGACAACTTGGTTTACCTATGAAAACTCTACCTTTTGACTTTATTATATCAACTCCTACCAATGAACCTGTTTGTACATATGATTTTTTTGTCCTAATTGGCCCATCCAAGTAAATGATAGAACCTTTTTTTATTTGCTTTGTTTAACATTAGCTAACCTACACATAATTGTGTTTACAACTGTCATGTCAAACCTTAGTATTGTGTGAAAAATCAAAGTGAGGATTTAAGATTGATGTCTACCAATCAAATGGATACATCAGTGAGTGAAGAAATTCAAGTTTACATGATACTCGTGCTCTTGAAAGGTGAGCGAAAACTTAAGATAGAGGATCTGTTGGCAGTGAGAGAATTTTTAGATGTCTATCCAGAAGATATTGATGAATTATATTATATTGATACTTTAGTATTCTTAGTGCTGCCTCTTGACACTTTTTCTAGGATTACTTCACTTACTAAGCTAGTTTTACTTGTTTGGGATTTAATTAGTAATTCTATCAATTTTTTGTATTTTAGTACTTTTGACCTCTTACTCGCTATTTTGGTAAGAACTTTTGATTCAGGTGGAGTTTTTCAATGATTCTTATTGTGTTGGAAAGCTAACTCAAAGAGTTTCAATTTGACATCTCATTCACCGAATTTGGAGTTTTGAGTTAAAATTTACTGGCATTTGAAGTATATTGTTAACTCTCCTTTAATGGTTTGTAGTTAAGATTCAGGTCTAATTAGGATTTGTGACCTGTTTTACTTTCTAAACTTATTAACTTATGTTTAGTTTAGGATTAGTCTCTACATAAAGTGATGAGGTAACAGTTTCTATTTCAATTCAGTTCAAAACCTTATTGCTTACCTTCTCAATTCTGCACAAATACTTTTAACTTAGTCTCAAATCATGTTGATATGATTTTAGATGATTCGCGCATATCAAATTCTTACTCGTGCAATCTCAAAATGTTCGCTCGTGCAGTTCACACTTTCAAGATCAGATTAAGAAGAACTGTATTGAATTAATTAGAGACACATGTTCAACAATCATTCAAGAAATTCAGATTAATAACACGTGTTCTTTAATTTAAATTCATGAATTGGATTAAGATTGATTTTAGAACTAAATCTAATTTACCGAGTAAAAATTGTTGGTTGTGACTTTTGATTTATTGAAGTCTTTTGTCTTTTAAATTTCTTGATTACATAATTGCTTGCATTCAAAATTCTCCCTAATTTTCTATGTTTCATTTTTAGCATTTGTAACTGAGGTTCTCGACATAATGACCTAGGTTTATCTCCTAGTTACTGCATTTAAATTATTTATTTATTTGACCGAGTAAGGCATTGATCAAATATTTCAAGATTACCTCCAAAAAAGAGAAGTGGAGTTTTCCATTGATCTCATTTGTAGAGTTGGACCTATATTTATAGCCTCGCGTAGAAGTGAAGACCTAATTAGAAGAACTATAGGAAAGGAAGATCATATGCCTGAGTGTTTCCTTATGGGGAACACCAGTATTGTTGGTGAAAAAAAAAGATGGTAGTATGAGAATGTGTAGATTACAAACAGCTCAATAAGTTAACGGTCAAGAATAAATACCCACTCCTTAGGATTGATGATATTATTGACTAACTTGGAGGAGCAATATTATTTTCTAGGATTGATCTCACATAAGGTTATCACTAGATTAGAGTTAAGTTTGAAGACATCTCAAAAATAGCCTTTAGCACTGAGTACATTCATTACGAATACTTAGTAATGTCATTTGGAGTGATCAATGTTCATGTTGTGTTTATGGACTATGTGAATAGGATTTTTCAACCATTTTTTTGATAAGTTTGTGATAATTTTCATTGATGACATATTAGTGTACTCTTAAAGTCTCAATGAACATAGTGAACACTTGAGGATAATTTTGCAAATCTTGAGAGAGAAAGAATTGTATGCTAAGTTTTCAAAATGTGAGTTTTAAATGAAAAAGATTAATTTCTTAGGCCATGCGATATCAAAAGAAGGGATTGTTGTGGACCAAAGCAAGGTTGAAGCAGAGGTGAATTGAGAACCATCCAACACAGTGACAAAAATTATAAATTTTAGTTTAAATTGGATATAATAGGAGATTTATTGAGAAATTTTTTAGAATAACAACACCTTTGACCAGGCTAACTAGGAAGGACCAACTTTTTGTTTGGAGATCTAAGTGTGAAGCAAACTTCCAAGAGCTTAAGAAGAAGTTAACCACGATCCCAATATTAGTATTACCTGATATAGCCAAGAGCATTGAAATATTTGTGATGCTTTAAAGTAAGGACTATGATGACTGTTGATGCAAGAAAAAAGAGTAAAGACTTACGCCTAAGACAACTACAACTACACAAGGAGAACTACTCTATGCGCGACTTAGAGCCAACAATAATGATATTTGCTTTGAAGATTTGGAACCACTATCTTTATAAATAAAGATTTGAAGTGTTTAGTGATCATAAAAATTTGAAGTATCTCTTCAATTAGAAAGAAGGAGATGAATATGAGAAAAAAACAGAGGATAAAATTTCTCAAGACCTACACTTTGTCATGATTTTTGTGCCTACCTTGTAACGCCTCAAATTTTGTAATATTGTTTGATTATTAATATAAAGGTGTGGGCTGCTATTTGAATATGTATCTGATATATACGATGATATGAATATATGTGAATATGAGTATGAGTGTGGATACTGATTGTGCATTGAGATTGGATATACTAGACTGATTGGAAATAGGCAGGAGGTGTACTGCAGGGGCATTCTCGCTGTAGCAAGAAGGCCTTGGGCGAGAGGGCTGCATCTGTGGTATTCTCGCTGTAGCGAGATGATTCTTGTTGTAGCGAGAATGTCTTGGGAAAAAGGGGTGATTTTGTTGTGTTCTCGCTGTAGCGAGAGGCTCCTCGCTACAACGAGAAGGCAATAGAGAGGGTTGTACTTTTGGGTTGCAGTCTCACTGTAGTGAGAAGGTCTCGTTGTAGCAAGATTCTGTAGAAACCAGAGTGCAGATTCGTCCAAGATTTTCGCTATAGCTAGAGGGGGTGTCGTTGCAGCGAGGGAGATGGCTCGTTGTAGCGAGAGTGTCATGACCAAAAGGGTATTTGAAGGGTTTAGGGTTTGAAAAATTTATTTCTCATTCATCTCTTCGAAATTCCTTCAATTCTCTTGACTCAAAACCCTATTTCACCAATTAAATTGCCTCCAAAGCCGTTCGCAGGTTAGATTGAATATTGGAATTGTGTTTGGAATGCTTGAAGGTAAGTTCTATGGATTAGAGTTTCAGTTTTTCATCTCTTTCTTTGATTTCTTGATTTCTCATACGGTTTTCCCTATATTTAAGATGAAAGTTTGTGTGGGAAACACTTTTATCGTAGATTTGTGTTATAGGTCTTCATTTCGAGGTAAAGGGGGACTCTACCCTATCTCTTGCGTTTAAATTTTGCTTATAATGTTAGATGATGAAATGTGATTGAGATAGAACGTGGGAGAATGTGTGTTTTAATAGAAATTTCGTATGAAGTATGATATGGTAGTTATTAGGTGATGTGTGTGATAGAATGGTGTGATTGTGATTGGATTTTGATGGAAAAATCGGTGTGTAATATAATGTGATTGATACTAGGCATGATGTGTGATAAAATGGTGATGAAAATTGAATGTTTAAGTGTAATGTGATTGAATATAGACATATGTGCCATGTGTGAAAGTGAATGTTATGATGTGATTGAGAATGTGGGCGAATGTGTGTGTTAACATACCATTGATTGGTGCCGAATAATGTGAATGGTTGGAAATATATGTGAATGACATATTGGTTGTGTTTGAATGTGTTGAAAAACTATGAATGGTTCAGCGATACACTGGAGGTGTAGAAGATGAGGGCGGTAGAAATACCTTGGAGAAGAGAGGGTGGTGGTGACACCAACAGTGAGTGTGGGTGCACCACAGGTCACATACTCTCTTCCTGATTTGACATCTAATTAATACCTTTGCTTGGGGGCTCAATACTACACACGTTCTATTCGTGGAGCGGAAGCTATCTGGCGACCATCCATGGTGTGAACTGAGTAAGTCCCTGAGGTTGAGGGCATCAGGAATCTGTGATCACAGTGCTACAGTGAGCGTAGCTACGTGCAGTGAACGTACGTGTATGTGGATTGTTTAATGGTGCAGTGAATGCACCTGTTTGTGAATTGTTATAAAATGTTTAAAAGTAGTAAATGTGTTGTTTGATGCATGAATTGAGTTTTGTAATAAATGTGTAATGTGTGAAAGTGAGACTCTATGCTTGCGTATGATAGTGTAGAGTACTCACATTTACGTTTATTTTTTAAGTGACCAAGACGATCAGCACCAGACTCAGTGAAGGGATGGATGAAACTGATATAGAACTTAGAAAACTTTATTTTGGAAACTGTGATGTATTAATAGGTCTTGTAGCAATGATTTGATTCAAATTTGTAATTTGTTCTTATTTTGAAATACTTTCATGAAACTATGCGTTGAGAACTATTGAATGAAAAACTTTATTATTCCCATTTATTTTTGAAATTTATTTATTTAAAAATTAAATTATAGTGTTACATTCTTAACTTCTTCTTTTTTTTTTCCAATTCTTCTTCAATAATTAAATTTATTGTCTCCTTTTGAACTCATTACATATCATTGATTTGAAACAATAATTTTAAATTTAATCATATATTCCTAAGTCAACCTTAAATTTGTTGCACTAGTTACCCTTTTTTCTACAACTCCCTTAGGTCAACCTCCCAATGATGATGCATCCTTTTAACATCTGCCTTTTGGATTTCTAAACCACCTTCCACATGCTTACTATTGAACTATTATATTTTTTATCAGAATTTTTGACCTTCATGATCATTACTTCTATTAACAAGAATTTTTAATTCTATAATGACCTCTTGATTTGTGTAACTTTCTTTACGATGCTCGAATCTTTACATGCAAGGCAAAATAATGGCATTCCTTCATATTCAGTTTTGTAAAATCACTCTTTGATCTTAAACATTCTAATAATGATTTAGTTACAGTAGTGATTGTAAATAACTGTCTTTTTTTATAAAACAAACAGGCATGGATATTCATCTAGCATTTAGTTTCTTTCTATCATTATCTTTTGGTTCTTTATCATCATATTTGTTCCCTTACAAGGATTCAAAGTCTTATCATTTTTCTGATCTGAGTTTATCAAAATGTCTCATAATCTTCTCCAAAAATCATACCTCCATGATTTTCTTTTTTGCTCACCCATTTCTTCCATAAGTTCCTGCACCACATCATTAAATATTACCACTAAGATGAATCTTTGGAAAAGTCTTGGTTATCTCTTTTAATTTTCTTTGGATTAGTGTTTACCAAGTTTTTTTTTTCCTCAAAAAGAAGTTTGAATTTTTCTTCCACCTTCCTATTTGTTATCTTAAAGAAACTTTATCTCATCCTCTTTAATAATATACTTTTTTTTCTATATAATCTTGGAGCTTTTAATTTTATTATATTATTATCATAACAATAAGAATACATTTTAAACATATTTTAATTGTTAATTTAGTATTTTTAAAAATTACAAAAACATGAATTAAGCTCTTCAACAATAATTGTAAAACTTATAAGCTTTATATGTAAGTAAATTAAATTTTAACTAATAATGAAAAATATATATTGAAAATAAAGTTTAATTATGTTTTTAATCCCTATAAATATTAAACATTTTGTAACAAGTCTTTATAAATTTTTTTGTTAGGATTTAATCCTTGAAAATTTTAAAGGTTTGGATTTAGTCATTGTCGTCAACTCCCTTCTATTAAGTGCCAAACTGATTGTATCATGGTATATGTAAAAGCTTCTTTGGTCATACCCTCGTAATATTCAAAGGCATTTGAAACTCGATCATGCTCTTGAGTAGTTCAAATTTTACAACACTTGATGTATTTTTCACTAATGATAAGTAACCCAACAAAAATGTACTTCTTTGCTTATCAAATTTGAGAAATTATAAAATCTTCCAATTCATTTGCTCAAAACCAAATCCCTTGTCATGTGTGAATAAAAGAAAGATTCATTTAATAACCATACATTGCCAATCTAGAGCTAATGTCATTACCTCATACTATTTTCCCTCATGATTATTGACTTGAACAACCCTTATTAATGAAAATGATTAATATTAGAGTTTGGAAGGAAGAAAATAGCCCCTCATGTGCTACCATCCGCAAAGACCACACTATGGTAAATACAAGCTAGAGTCAAAACATGTCATTACCAAGTTGAAGATATATGATTCCTCCCCTTATTTATTATTTCTTGGTATAAGTTATCAACATTGGATTTTATGCGGTTATCTTGAAACCTTGCAGCATCTACATAGCCATAGTGGATTGCATCTCATCTCTATATTCCATAAAGGCAATTCCTAACTTTGTTTCAACCATTCTAACTTCTTTGAATCTCATATATTAAAGAAAAAAAAAGAAGTGGGGTGGAGGTAGTAAAAAGAGAAAGAGAAATAGAATGATTATAAATTTATTTATAATTATATAAAATATGTTTTTAGACTTATTTGTAAATATTAATTTTAAATAAATAAATAAATAAATAACATATCTCGTGACAACAATATTAAATTAATATTTAGTTAACAAGTTCAACATAACATATAATATAATAAATTTATTTAAATCTTAATTTCTTAAATTAAATTATAAAAAAAATTTATAAAAATTTATCACTAATTCACTACCAACTATTCAATATCTATAATAATTAAAAACATAATAAACTTCAAAATAATATTGCCCATGTTTGTAACATGTTTTAGATGAGCACTTAACAATGAAAATGGGGAAGCGAATGAATGTCCACCCTTGATTCCTTTTCTGTTTTTTTTTCTTTTTAAATTCTTTTTAATTTGTTGTTTGCACAACCATAATTTCGTATCATACTATCATTCTCTTAACTTGATAACAAAAAAGTGTTTTTTTTTTTTTTAAAAGAAAACTACTTCCATTTCACTCCCTATATATTATTGCTTTATTGAAGCCTGCTCTTTGCACTGTTTCTACATATTTTCCCATCCATTTGGTAATTGAATTTGCATTTGGAAAATCAAAATTAAACTGAATTTGAGCAAGAAGAGGAGGAAGGAGGAGGAGGAGGAGGGGTGGGGAGGCATATAGGAAGACAATGAACCTACCCTTATCGTGTTCTTAGTCTCATCGTGCCTCCCCCTCAGATCTTAGCTTTTTTTGTGTAAGATTTGGCATTTGGGTCTTATTCAATCTGGATTCAAAGTGTTGATCTTTATTCAATTGGGGTGTGCCTTTTGATCTCTAATTGGAAAATATTCACGGGTTTTTTCCAGGATTACTTGACTGTGGGTTGATTCGCAGAATCCGATGTTTCCTAATTGAATCTGAGAGTTTCATTTTACACCGTAAACTGAGATTGTCATAATTTTAAGGTATTTGTTTTGTGCGTGCATCTGATGTCATTCCTGGGACTGTTTGTGTTCGAACAATTTGATGAAATGCAATTAAGTTTTGATTTATTGCCGTTGTATAGTTTCTATGTAGCTTTGTCTTCTGTTTTTAACTAAGAGAAAAGAATGCAATGATAATTGTGTAATCAATTTTATACTAGACTTGGGTGCTTGGTTTGTCTTGGGAAGCTTGGCATTTTTGCAGGCTAATTGATGCTACCACTTTCAATCGTGAGTTTCTGAGCTTAATCGATTAAGTATCTTTTGCTGTTAGATAAAATGCAATCAGATAATGGCAAATTATTTATTGGGGGAATATCATGGGATACAAACGAAGAGCGACTTAGGGAGTATTTTAGTACCTTTGGAGAGGTCATGGAATCAGTGATAATGAAGGATAGGACAACAGGCAGAGCACGTGGATTTGGCTTCATTGTTTTTTCTGATCCAGTCGTTGCCGAAAGAGTGATAAAAGAGAAACACAGCATTGATGGAAGGATGGTAATTTCTTGTTGTATTCCTCTTTGAAGTCTGATTCTTAACATTTTTATTTACTTGAAATTGGGATTTGGGATACTTCAATGCTAAATAGCTGATCAATATATTGAATTGTACTTCAAATTGATAAATTTGGGGTCAATATAATGTATATCTGTTTAGCTAGAGTTAAAATGACCCACGGCCATCAGCCAATAATCTTTTCTCTGTATTTTTATTCTTCTGTTTTATTTTGTTGTTATTTTCTTCTGTAAATATCTGATAATATCATTCTTTTTTAAGTTTTTGAAATCTGACTGCTATTTAATACTAATTCATCTATTATTAGGTTGAGGCAAAGAAAGCTGTTCCTAAGGATGACCAGAACATCCTGAGTAGAAACAGTGGCAGTGTACATGGTTCTCCAGTTCCATGCCGCACAAGAAAGATATTTGTCGGAGGTTTACCATCAACAGTAACGGAGAGTGATTTCAAAAAGTACTTTGACCAGTTTGGGATTATAACAGATGTGGTAGTGATGTATGATCACAACACTCAGAGACCGAGAGGGTTTGGATTTATCACTTTTGATTCTGAGGAAGCTGTTGACGCAGTTTTGCTCAAGACTTTTCATGAATTGAATGGAAAAATGGTTGAGGTGAAGCGGGCAGTTCCTAAGGAGCTGTCACCAGTACCAAACCACAGCCCATTTGGTGGATATAACAATGGTCTTGGTAGGATGAGTAATTTCTTAAATGGCCTCACTCAGGGATATGCTCCAAGTAATGTTGGAGGGCATGGGCCTCAGGTGGACGGTAAATTCAGTCCTGTTGCTAATGGGCAAAGTGGATTTACTCTATTTGGTTCTGGTTATGGAATGAATGTGAATTTTGATCATGGTTTGAACCCTGAATTTGGGGGAAATGCAAATTTCAATAGTAATCTTAGCTATGGTCGAGGACTAAATACTTATTATATTGACAGCTCAAAGAGGTTTGGCAGTCCTGTCAGATATGATGATGGAAACAATTCTTTCTTCAGTTCTGTGACTCAAAATTTGTGGGGAAATGATGGCCTTAGTTATGGAACCGGCTCTGCTAATTCCAGTTCATACAATGGATCAGGGAGTGCTAGAGGTGGAGGTAACACATTTGGCAATAGTGGAGTTGGCTTTGATTCTTCATCAATTTGTTTTCAAGGAGACAGGAACAATGTATCAGTAAGTAATGGCAACCTTAGCTTTGGAGGTTCTCACAACAATTATGGTTTGGGGACTGGAGGATATGGAAGAAGCAGTGGTACCAATATACCCCCAACATCATCATACTCATTGGTGTCAAATGGAGATTCTGATGGGGCTTTTGCTGACTTTTACAATAGTAGTTCAGTTTATGGTGATCCCACGTGGCGATCATCAAATGCTGAGCGAGATGGATCTGTTCCCTTTGGATATGGACTTGGAGGTGCAATTTCAAATGTTTCTGCCAAAATGTCTCCAGGTTATGTTGGAGGCTATACAATTAATAAGAGGATGCCAAATAGGGGTAAGAGCCACCTTAGTCTTACTTCATCTCAACATTTTTCTCAGTATATTATGTTTCCCATTGAGCTAAATGACTTTGCTATGAATAAATAGTGACTACATACTTGAACAAAAGGGATGGTATTACTTCACATGATTCTCTCTGCAACAATCTTATGTGTGACTTATTGTGGGTAGATGTCAGATCCATAATTAGTTTATTTACGGCTGGTAGATTTTCCTTGTAGCATGTCTTTCGATATTTGGTTTAAACCATTGTTTAGTTTCTAGTGGACTATGTGGTTATGTGTTCAAGCATGATCAACTATCACTTAATGCATGTGCAACAAATAAACTGAATTGCAGAGCTCATCTGTACACGGCAGTATTCAATTAAAAAAAGTTGCTGATTGAGTAAACAATTACATTAGTTAGCTAGAGATGTTTTATCATTTTGTTTTTTATTTACAACTTGATATTCGATACTAATCATCTGTACACTGCAGTATTCAATTAAACAAGTTCACTGATTGAGCAAACAATTACATTGAGTTAGCTGGTTATAAAATTTGTTTTTTATTAACAACTTGATAATCGATACTGGTCATCTCCCATGTGGGGTTATTATTCTACGAATTCAGTTTAATATAATGCGTCCCTTGCTATCTCAGTGAGATATTGATAAGAACCTTGGGAGAACCACACTACAAAAGCTAGTTGTTATAGTTGAAGAGTGCAAGGCCTTATAAACCTCACATTTGAATCCCATGCTTCCAATGTGGGACTCAAGTCCCTTACCTTGCAATTGGATCCTAACATCCCAATTGATGGATTTGGATCATAATTGTAGAAAGAGAAGTTTTTATTTGTAGAGAGGAGAGAAAGTGAATGAACTGGAATTGGATACTCTACCATGAGCAAAGACTCTTATACACGCACACACATACAAATAAAGATGTATGTAGAAAATCCTAATGGGCCAACATTACAACTACTTATAATACTCCCTCTCAAGTTGGAGCATAGATATTAATCATGCCTAGCTTATCATAAATAAAATCACTACTATTCAATGCCTTTGTAAACACATCTGCTAGTTGATCACTTGTCTTAACCTTCTCTCGAATGGTGTGATAATCCACTTCAATATGCTTTGTCGTTTCACTAAAAACTGGATTCGATGAGACATAAATGGCAACTTGGTTGTCTAAGTTTAGTAGAACTAGTGTTACCAAATCCCATCTCCTCTAAGATTTGCTTAACCCATAATAGCTTACAAGTAGTCAAAGTCATGTCCTTGTACTTTGCTTCTGCACTTGAGTTGGTCACCACATTCTGCTTTTGGGTTTTCTAAGAAATCAAATTACCTCTTAAGAACCCACAATATCTTTGTGGTAGACTTTCGGTCCATAGGAGATCATGCTTAGTCAGAATGAGAAAATGCCTCCACCTGCAAATGCCCATGATCCTTGGACATCATATCCTTTCTTGGAGCCTTTTTCAAGTACTTAACAATGCAGATAAGTGCTTTTCAAGAAGTGTCAATCAAAGAGGACATAAATTGACGTACAACACTTGTTGAAAAAGCAATATCCAACCTAGTGATAGTTAAATAATTCTACTTCCCAACCAATCTTTTGTATTTTTTGAGAATTAGAAAATGGGACTCTATTTGCTGTCAGCTTCACTCCTGGCTCCATGAGTGTCTCACACAATTTAGCTTCCTTCAAACCGGTTTCAATCAACAGATCCAAGACATACTCCCTCCATGAAAGGAAGATTTCTTTCTTTGAATTCATAACTTCAATGCAACACTGTATGATCACACTCACTCCTCACTATGCCAAAATCATATCATTGAATCTTCCAAACCATGCTATAGGTGATTTTTTCAAGTCATTCAAAAGTCTTCTTTAATCGGCATACGTTCTCATTCTCCCCATGAGCAACAAACCCAGGTGGTTGCTCTATGTATACTTCCTCTCGTAAATCACCATGTAAAATGATACAGTGGCCAATGGTGCTTGGCAGCAAACAAAATAAAGATATAGACAAATGATAGCTTAGCAACTGGAGAAAAAGTATCAACGTAGTCAACTCCATATGTTTAGGTATAACCTTTTGGATTAGGGCATGCCTTTAGGTGAGCCACAAAACCACCAGGATTCACCTACACAACATAAACCCACTTACAACCAATAGTCTACTTTCCTATAGGAAGAGATCTCAAGTAGCATTGTCTCAAGAGCTATTATTTCTTCCTCGATAGCATGTCTTCAACCATCATGATTTAATGCATCTAAAAGGATCTTTGGAAGTGAAATAGAATCGGCACCCGTCACAAATGATTTAGAAGTAGAAGACTAATGGGCAGTGGACACATAGGAATAAATAGGATAGGAACAAGTTCGTGTACCTTTGTGGGCAGCTATTAGAAGATCAAGTCATTGGGAAGATCAGCAGACACATAAGAAGATAATGATAGAGGTTGAGTATCATATCTTAAGGAGCATTAGGTAGAGCATCATGTGCTTGAAGATCTTCATGAGAGGTCTGTGTAGGCCACCAAGAGTATGTTAAGTCAAAAAATTTGTGCCACACTCTCTTACTTGTGCCATCCATTACTTAGAAATCTAGTCAATATGACTCAATTTGCACAAGGCAATGCTGTCTATTTTGAATTTCATCCTAAGGAATGCTTTTTCAAAAACCAGGCTTCTCATAAAGTGCTTTTTGGAAGGAACACTTGGAGTGGATCGTCTTTACAAGTTTCATCATATGTAGCTCCCACACAATACCTCTAATCATCTCTTTTTTTCTGTTAATACTAATATTAATACTGTACATTTGATTCCCACTGTATCTACTGCTTCATATCCCACTTCCTACTCTGTTTGGTACAATAGGCTGGGTCACCCACATCTTGCTACACTTAAAATAGTACTACAGCACTGTGTTATACCATTCATGAATAATACAAAAGCTGAGTTTTGTACAGCTTGTTGTCTTGGCAAAGCTCATCATTTCCTCTCTACATCTTCTAATGCTGTATATAATGAATGAACCTTTGGTGCTTATGTTCAGTGATCTGGTGGGGCTCAGCTCCATTTTTATCATTTGGTGGATACTGTATACTCATATTATATCACGTTTTTGGATGCCCACACTCGTTATACATGACTTTATCTACTTAAACAAGTCTGAAGTATTATCTATATTTCTAAAATTCTAGTGCATGGTAGAAGTTCAATTTTCCAAATTGATTTAGTTCTCGCAAAATAACTGGTATGGGGAATCTAGACCCTTCTCAAAGCTGCTAGCAAATTTTGATATCATTCATCGCGTGATTTATCCACACACACTTCATCAAAATGGATCAATTGAGAGAGAACATTGCCACATTGTTGAGATGGAACTCAATTTCGTCACATGCATCACTCCCATTAAAGTATTGGGATCATGCTTTCATCACTGTTGTAAATTAGATACTGGAACACTTTCAATTGTAAAAAGAAAATCAACTTGGCTCCAAAGATTCCAATGTAGTTAACTTGGTCCCATGGATCTTCCAGTGCAACCTACTTGACTCCACAGCTTGCTCACCCAATGCAGTCTATTTGGCCTTGTGGCTTTTTCAGTGCAATAAAAAAAAAAAAACCATTAGTCCTACAATTTTCATGTTTCAAATGTCCAATCCTAGGGGTGAGGAGGGTGTGTGTGTTGAGAATGCACATCAACTACAAAGATGGTCAAACTAGATCTTATAAAAGCTTATGCAATTCTCACCTCATCAATTAGTTTTTGTAGTTCAGTAAGGTTAAGTTCATATTCAAGTAGTACAATGGAAGAAAATAACTTTATAGAGTGTTTTAAGAACTTCTGATCACTATAGAGTAGACTTGTAACTTCTGCCAAAAGAACCCTATTTAGTTACCCACTCCTATACAAATATTAAACCTCCCAACTAACTCTAACAACGCCTAACTCCTTCCTTCTAAGATAGACCTACTTTACTAGGTCTACTATGATATTAATAAAAGGGTTAGTTTTAATGTTTTGTATCATATTGTTACCAATGATATCAGTGGTGGGTCATGGCAAAAAGCCAAAAAATTGCCATAAATTTATGGTGGATGCCATGGCAGTTTTTGGCATAAGTAAGGTGGCCATAATAAAATAATATAATCTATATACTATATATATAATAATGCATAAAATAAATTGAAGAACGTAATAAAGAAAACTAACATATGTCAAAATCCAAAAACCTAATTGATAGAAAACCAAAATAACAAGATATCATAAATCTCATATAACTTAATACATAATAGCTTATGTCTCAAAGCATGTCTCAAGTATTAGTTCAATACAAAACAAAATGCCATCAAATCTCAAGTGAAACAAAGTGATAAAAAACAAGAAAAACACAAGGGCTAACAATCTAATCCATCTCATCAACCCCAATATAGTCATCTTCTTTGTACTAAGGCATATCCCTCTCCCCTTTCTTCCATGGATTCCTCAAGATTGATTTCCACTTCTTCTTCCATTTCTTTAGTTAGACATATCTTCGAATTTTGGTTTTCCATCATCTTCAACCACTGCTTTCTCTTTTCTTTTTGAGGTTGAACTTGACTTTCTTAGAAACTTTTGCAACTCTAAGGTAATAATATTTGGAGGATCCTTTCTTATCCTCAATTGTTGCCAATTTAGAGTGTCATCATCATCAAAAACCAAGTCAATCCCAACATCTTCTTCATAGTCATCCATCTCTTGAACTAACCACTCGTTACCTTCATCAATGTCCTTGAGTGTAATTAGATCAATTAAATCTCTTAGACTTATAATGGTTATTATTTTAGAATTTTAAGCCCCCCTACTTCTTGTGGTTCTATGTACCTAATATTTGCTACCTCTCCTTACTAGTCAGGCTTGAAGGTGAAACCAGCAAATCCTTCTATCTACTTTCTGCTAACACTTTATTTGGTCTTTCCGTGCTTTATAGATGTCCACATGATGTTCAAACCAGCAAATCCTTTTATCAAGAGAACACATATGTAGCTAAGCAACATTAGTTCAAACATAGCTGTTATTGAAACTCTTGTCTATTACATGATTTCTAAATTCAAAACCAAGATTTCCACCAATTACCTTAATATATCACATACCTTGCAACCATGTTCAACAGTCTTCCTTTCCTCAACCCTTTCCTAATTGCAACTAACTAACTAACTACTTATATAACTAACAAGTTAATAGGTTATCTAACAATATCACACATAAGATTCAAATTAGGAGGATGAAAATGAGTGATGATTCTGGCATGATTTATGATTATGATGAGGTGGACGAGTCACAAGTGAACTCACAAAACTATGAATGAATATATTCTGGAGAAAGTTCAAATAGCAACTATTGAGGAAAGGATGATGGAAACTCATTTAAGGTGGTTCAGTGACAGATGTCTAGTGGAGGTTCTAGTGAGAAAAGTGTATCTCACGGGAGACAATCTAACTAATGACAATGAAGACAATTCTTTTCATGTAGCCAATTCTAACTTGTGGGATAATATTTGGCAGTTGCTAAAATTTTGTAAACATTTAGAGCCGCCTCCATTCAAGTAATAAAATTTATTAGTTTTCCTATTTTATTCAAATAATTTTATTATGGGATTTATTTAACTAAATTGTCTTTCTTTTAATGTGTCATTTTTCAATGCCATAGATTTAAACATTATTTTAGAATTTGTCCATTAACATTCCTTTTCTAAGTCATGACTTCATCATCTGATTAATTTTAATCAAAGATTGATTTTCTTAATCTGCTACGGATGGAATCATGGCCCTTACTATTCTGTAGCATTTAGTCAAACCTTTTTGTGAGAGTTAAAATTTTATGGTGTCTGGTATTCTCCTACTTCCCTTTTACTCCCAATGTAATAAGTTTCACCCTTCTACTGCTGTCTGTTTCCTTTTCTTTGTTTGAGTAGAAAATAGGTAGACAAGCTATGATAATTGATATGGCCAATAACCCACCACAACCATTTCTTTATCTATGTATGATACTGTTACTCCTTTTTATCATAATTCTCATACTTTTTTGGTGAATTTGACCAACCGATGTTGATTGATGTTTCTATAATTGGTTTTTGTTACAAACTTAGTTTAGTCTGATAACACTCACAAATTTCCGTCTTTGCATCAGGAATTGCTACATAGGATGATCATTTTGAAGATAGAAACTACAGGTGAAATCAATCCAGTGAAGCAGGTGAAATGTGAATTTTGCACACCAGTGTTGCTGCATTTCAGTAAAGTCAAAAAATGTTTGGTTATCTATAGCTAACTGGATTGCTTGTTTTGAGGATTCAGATGTAAGGATAGAAGCTGCATTTAAGGCTTGAGTTTTTGAGTTACTGTTTTAGGTTTTGGGTTTTGGGATTTGAGTGAGATGTAAAATCTGATTGCGGGGTATAGTGGAACTGAATCATGCTTTGCTTATGAGGCAGCAATATACAGCATTTCTTGTGTTCTTGAGTAGGATTTTTGTCTCTGATGTCACTCAAAAGTTGTGGCTCAACCTATGAATTTTTAGTTTTTTCCATCCACATTTTGATTTGTCTTCGTTGATTGTAGCTAATGTTTCTATCAGTTTCTAGTGTGAAACATTGAAGGGGATACCTATCTAGAAACCCCTTAAATAAGTTATCAATTCAAACTTCATGCGAGAGAAAGGGAAATCTCCAATTCTTTCTACTCATTTTCTATTTCATCTAAATATAGCATAATTTGACATTTATAAGATACGTTAGAGAAAGAGTCATTTTCAACACACACTGCACAATTTTAAAATTTTATAGAATCCTGCGTATAACACCCTCGTTTCTGTTGATTTCAGTAAACTGTAAACGCGTTTATACCTCTTTTCTTTATAGAAATTAATTGGAGAAAGATTTAATAATTTAATGCTACTGGGTATCTGAACACTATTTAATAACTTTTATAAAATGTAAAATTATCCATTAAATAAAGAAATAAAATAAAGTATCTAATAACTTCATTTTTTCATGAAATTTTAGAAAATTAATCTACTTATACGAATACTAAACCAATAGTTTGATTAATTAATTTTATATTTTATAAAAATTTATTAATTGATGTAAATATATAAAGTTTGACAAGCTGGTGTCAACAAATCTTATATAAAAATAATAAGTAAAATTTGAATTATATTAAATATTAATAATTCAATGTACACCACAAGTAAATTAATAACTTTATTTCATAATATTGAATTTGAAATCATCATGCAATTACAAAAAATTGTACTTGAATTATATTAGGTTAAATATTGACAGAATATAGTTAATAATATATACTATGTGCCCTAGGGAAAGTCATATAGGTCAAATATTTGATACCAACATTTAAAAGTTGCCTACAATCCTGCCCTTCAAATTAGGCTCAAAGTTTGCTTTGTGGTCCAATTAGAAACTTATGTTGTGCACTCAACATTTCATGCATACTTTTTGCAAAGGATCATAGTAGGTCACACTTACTAGCATTGAGTACCTAAACACTATATTACTAGCAGAACATCATCTAATAAGATATGTAATTTGTTCCCTTTTATAAATATCATGGTGTAAACCTTGACATTAGTGTTGGATTGCCTTTATAGGTACATCACTTTCGTTGGTATTATAGCACTTGTTTCTTTATTGAACTCATCTCCTTTAGGTTATTAAAGAACTACAAGATCTTAGGATTTGGATCTAGTTTAGTTAATGCGAGAGCTAGATGTCCAGTTTCATTTTCGCTTAAGGAAAAATACAGAAAATGACTAATTTTTTTTTGCAAAATTAGTTTAATTGAATTTTTTTTAGCTTAAAGCTAATTTTGCATATTCGCTTAAGCAAATTATGTTAACTTAAGTGAATTTTGCGTCTTTCCTCTCAATCTTCTCTTCTCCTTCTTCTCATGCCTAATATTCTATTCTCCTTCTTCTCATGCCTATCACTCTCTTCTCAACCTCCATATTCAACCTATTTAACCTTCTTCTTTTTGTCATACTTGATTCCTCTGTTCCTCTTTCAACTCTCTCTTCCCTCCACCTCATGCTCTATCTTTTCTTCTTTCCACTCTCACCTTATATCATACCTATATCTCCCTCTTTGCTCCATTTCCAAATCTCCACCCTCCTCTCCCTCTACCATACTACTGCTCTCCTTTTCTCCATCTATCCTTGATCCTTGATGAATTCATAATTTATAGATATTTTGTTTATTTGTTTATAGTTTTTTAATAGAAAAATGGACTTAGAAATGATAAATACATAAAAATCTCATTGTTACAACCGTCATTACTTCTTCTCCGGGAAAAGAAGTTCATGACCCGTGGGCCTTCTACCTCCACGCGGCATTGCTCTGTCAGGCTTTCGCCCATTGCGGAAAATTCCCTACTGCTGCCTCCCGTAGGAGTCTGGGCCGTGTCTCAGTCCCAGTGTGGCTGATCATCCTCTCGGACCAGCTACTGATCATCGCCTTGGTAAGCTATTGCCTCACCAACTAGCTAATCAGACGCGAGCTCCTCCTCGGGCAGATTCCTCCTTTTGCTCCTCAGCCTACGGGGTATTAGCAGCCGTTTCCAGCTGTTGTTCCCCTCCCAAGGGCAGGTTCTTACACGTTACTCAAATAATTCATTTATCTTATTATTAATCAAAAATTTCGATTCCAGCTAATGATGATGCTATAGCCTCAATCCGATTAATTCTTAACAAATTAATATTTGCAATTTGTGAGTCTGCTTGAGCCTCCAAAGATAAAGGCACATGAATAGCCATTTGATCCCCATCAAAGTCTGCATTGAATCCCTTATAAACTAATGGATGTAAACAAATAGCACGCCCTTCTACTAAAATGGGTTGGAATGCCTGTATGCCTAATCTATGCAGAGTAGGGGCTCTATTCAGCAATACGGGTAGCTGTCCATATACTGATAAGGGATATATGAATTCTCGAGAAGAGAGGAGCCGTGGTGGTCACCCTTGGACCGCCCGGATCCCACGAGTGAAGAGAAAGTTGGATCTACATTGGATCTCACCTGAATCGCCCCATCTATCCTCCTGAGGATGCAGTTACTAATTCATGATCCATATAGCCAAGAGAAACCATAAACCAGAATAGAAGAGCTTGCCCCACCCATGAGTAAATATTTCGTAGTAGCCTCATTAGACCGTACATCTTTCTTGGTATATCCAGATAGTAGATAGGAGCATAAACTGAAATATTCTGGAGCTACAAAGATAGTTATTAAATCGTTAGCGCCGCATAAAAACATTCCTCCTAGAGCAGCTATTAATACGAATAACAGAAACTCTGTTATAGCCATTTCTGTACATTCAATGTACTCTACGGGTAGAGGAATACATAGAGTTGAACATAGTAAAATAAGAAATTGAAAGATTTCGTTGAAATTGTTCGTTTGGAAATTTCCCGAAAAGCTAATCATAGGTTCTTCACTCCATCGGAACAATAGGGCCGTTATGCTCATTACTAAACTTGTTGAAGAGATAAAATAGAACCAAGATATATCTTTTTGATTAGAGGTTGAATCGATCATCAGAAGAAGAATTAGGCCAAAAATTAGGATACATTCTAGGAAAATCAAATTTCCATCGAAGAGAAGCAAATGAAAGGCTTTCATAAAAATTCTTGGGCTGTCGCAATGGTACGACAAAAAATGTTTTTAAGAGATTCAGTAGAGTCGCCACCAAAGTTTACCAAAGAAAACCTCCAAAAAACTTAAAATTTTGATCTTTGAAACCAAAAATGGATCCGAGAGTTATTTACGTGTAGGGAAGGTGTTAGTACCCTACAACGTCCATTTAAATAACGGTTACCTTAAATTAATTGTGCAAATTTATTTTAATTTTAAAAAGTATTTATTTAACCTTTAAAAAATAAATGTTGCTATTTTTATTTTAAAGAAAGAAAATTTATTTATTAAAATATTAAGTTATATCTTAGAAAAAAATAAAAGAATAAAAAAAACTGTTTTGACTCATGATTCCTGCTCTTACGTACCTTCAAGTGCAACGGAAAACTCAAAGTTATGTAGTTCTATACAAAAATTCCAAATTTGGTTGATTAAAATTAAATTTAGTAAAGAAAATTTGTTTTGAGATTAAAATTATTTTTATAAAATTATAATGTTTAGGATACAAGATAACGCGGTTATACATGTACCCTATGAGAAATAATATAGTAGGTGAAGGAAAATCACACAACTATATTGCAAATCATTAATAATATTTTATTTTTAAATGAAGTATTTGAATTTTAATTTTGATTATAAATAATGTTGAAAGAAAATTTAAGATAGCGTAAGCTATACATAAATCTCTTATAATTTATTGGATAATCAAAGGCAATGTAAATCACACATTGATGTTGTAAAAATTTGTATAATAAAATAAAAAAAATGATTGGTTATTTAATTTATTAAAATTTGAAATATGACTTAAGAAAAATTAAAATATGAAATTAATTAATTTAAAGAATAAAATATATTTGAATAGATTAATGAAGATTGTTATTTAATAAAAAATTATAACTTCATTTAATAAATTTATATTGCATACCTAAGGTAATATTGGTATACAAAAGTCTTAATTTAAAGTATATAAATGTAGAAACGCTACACAATAACACTATAAATTATAGATGATAGATTTTAATTAAAATAATAATAATAATTGATTTCTTTTAGAAATCAGATAAAATTTTCAATATATTGATATTGTGTAAAACCTAAGGTAACGTTGGTATACATAGGTTTTGACAATTTATAATGCATAAAGGTAGAGTTGCTACATATTATAAATTGTTGAATTAATTTTATTTGTTTGTTATGATTCTAAAACAAAATATAACTTATCAATCATAAAATAAAAGACAATATAAATTCAAGACAAATTATACTAACTTAACAATGAAAGTAATATTAATAAACAATTAAGTGAGACTAATAAATGAATAACTAAGCAAAAGACAATTTTATAACATAAAATAAGGAACTTAATTTTTAACATTATTCTGATCCATTCCACCATTATTAATATCATTATTTATAAAGATAAAAAAGAATTAAAAAATATAAAAATAAATAAATAAAAAAAATATATAAAATACATAAAAAATAATTCTAAAATATCTCATTATTATTTTATAAAATTAAAATATTTTAATTTATAATTTGAAAGATAATAAGTAATAATATATATATATATAAATTAAAAAATATAAAAATAAATAAATAAAAAAATATATAAAATATATAAAAAATAATTCTAAAATATCTCATTATTATTTTATAAAATTAAAATATTTTAATTTATAATTTGAAAGATAATAAGTAATAATATATATATATATATATATATATATATATATATATATATATATATATACACTTATGGAAGAAACATAATATTAATTACATACTCACGTGACAAAAGCTGATCATTACAGCAACATGGTATCAATTGCATATTGATGTGACAAAAGCTAATTATAGCAACAGGGGCAATATAAGTTGATAGCCATATAAGAGGTGATTAAGTAGCAATCTTCCATTTTACAAGTTTTGTACTCTCTTGCTCTCGATTTATATGGCAATTTCAGACAAGAAACGGAACACTCCACGTAGGACGAGAAGATTTAGACCCAACAAATACTCACCTCAGTAGAAGTTAGACTCTTGAAGGTCGTGATTAGGGAGGAATATTTATATGTGAGTATGGGTTAAAATCTCTGCTTCTTTCTTCTTCTTCTTTTTCAGTTGCCTTCCAACTTTTGATGCTCCTCTGTGTTTTTTATTTTTTATTTTTTTATTTCTCTTCTCCAATTTTCTTTTCAATCCTTCCTCCCCCCAGAATGCTCTCGTTCCCCCTTTTTTGTATCCCCTTTCTCGCTCCGTTGCTTTTCTTTACACACATCCATATGTTTATTTTTTTTTTTTTGCCTCTTTCACTTCCTTTTTCATTTAATCATACACGTTATTCCTATTTCTTGTGATTTCATTTTTTATGAAATTTTTGCAGTCAGGGGGAACAATTTTTGCAAGCAGCGATAGTAGGTTGCTTGCTCCCTTTTTTACGGATCTCCTTTTCTTTCCCCTGTTTTTGGTTTTTGCATTATTGAAATAAAAAAAATATATGTATTCACACTCATTTAGATTAAATATCATAACTTTCTTAATTTTTGTCCAATTTACACTAATTTCTGTAAATATATTTTGTAATTTTGATCATTTGAATAATTGTGCAAGAATTTTCAGGCAAATCTCTTGGATTTTTGGCTATTTGGAAATTATGAGATGAACGTAACTATTTTCAGGCACCATAGTAGTCATTATAGCAAGCCAATTCCAAAGAATAGGCTAAAGTAACTACTTTCAAAAGTAATAGTGGTCACTACAGAAAGCCCCAAAAGGACGCATGTTATGCGTGATTACTATCATCCACCATAGTAGTATTGCCCAGCACGCATAGCTAATTTCATGTGCAATAGTAGTTACTACAGAGAGGAAGGAAAATCCTGGGAGTTGCGCGTGTCTACTATCGTGAACGATAGTAGTTACTATGAAGGACGTCAATTTAATATAAATAGATTTTTATTATTTTAGGGTAAGAGCTTTTTGCCACTTTAGATTTTTTCTGTTTTGGGAACACTTTCGCAAAGCTAGGTCAACTTTGGGTGACAGCCAATGGTTCAACCTAGGGTTTGAATTCCATTTCTTCTTCACTTTTCTTTGATTCTTCATCTTGATGTTATTGATTTCTCTTTACTTTCATTTTGTGTTAGTGAGATGCATCCTCATAGAGGGCTAAACTTCTTGTAATCCTTAGTGAGTTCATATGGATCCTTGAATTCCTGGGTTAATGTTAATACGAATCCCTTCTTCATGAATTTCTTTTCTCCTAATCTCTTGAACTAAATTAACAGTTGAATGAGGGGGTATTGCTTAATTAACCCTAATTCGTTTTAATGAGCTTCTGAACTTGGTTTGCTTAATTCTGAGTTTAATCCTTAAGTTGCTTAATCTTGGGGATGAGAGATTGGAGCCCATTGATTTGCTTAGTTTCGTATGGAAATTTAAGGTTAATTTTTTATTGTTAAATTAACCTAATTCAGAGAAGAAGAAAGAGTATCAAATCTTAAGAGAAATGGGGATAGAATATATGTGGACAAACTGGGGGGGTACTACATTTTATTAACTAAACTTTGCAATTTAATTTTCTGTTTAAATATATTGAACTTGGAATCACAAAACCCGCCTTTTGGTTATTGCTTTCTCAGTTATTGTTTACAATATGTTTGATGTATGTTTTTAACCAATGTCATTGGAGACAACTAAGGCTTGCATCCTAGACTACATTGATTTTTCTGCATATTTTGATGGGAGTTAGTGAAGAACTTTATTGCACCATTAAATTGGCACCATTGCCGGGGAACATTGGTGTTAATTTTTGCATTGAACATGTCAAGTACTCTATTTTAGTGTTCTATTTTTATTGTTTTCTACATGTTTGATGTTAATTGTTTTGAATTTTCTGTATTGTGAATACATTAACATTGATATAGCTTCATAATAGATAGGGTAATTCTGGATTTTGATACATATCTTTGTTATTTTCTGCAACTTTTGCTGCACTACATTCTGCATTTTCAGTTTCGCAATTCTGCACATTAATTTTTTGCACTTTTACTGTGTTTTGCTGCAGAATTCTGTAAAATTCTGCAGAATTTTCAGTTTGGTACTACATATTTCTTTATATCTGTTTTGCACAATTTCTGTTTTCTGTTGCTTAAATCTTTCGCTTCATTTTACTGCACTTATCTATTGGTTTTTCTGCATTATTTTCATCTGTACATTTTGCATTTTTAGCCACTTCATTTAGTATATCTATTCTGCATTCACATAGTTAAATTAATAGTGCATGACCAGATCAAGACCTGGAGATCTATATCCACTTGATCTAGAAATATATAGGACTTTCTATAGTAATATTAGGACACATAGAAATCGTTTTGAAAATTTAGAGGAACCTTCTTCTCCATCATCTGTTTATTCTTCTCGACATTCACTTGATTTTGAACTTGAAAAAATGGCAAATAATGAAAGGACGTTAAAGGAACTAGCTGCACCTGATGTAACTTACCAAACACTGTGTATATTGTATCCTGATATTGATGCTCCTTTTGTTCTTAAAACTGGACTAATACACGTGTTGCCTAAATTTCATGGCCTTGCAAGTGAAGATCCACACAATCACCTCAAGGAATTTCATATAGTTTGCTCAACTATGAGGCCACAAGGTGCACTTGAGGAACATGTGAAGTTAAAAGCCTTTTCATTTTTATTGATGGACACAACCAAAGATTGGTTGTATTATCTTCCACCATGATCCATAACTAGTTAGGACAATTTGAAAAGACTCTAGAGAAGTTCTTTTTGGCATCAAGAGCTGCATCCATCAAGAAAGAAATTTGTGAAATTAGACAGTTGGAGAGAGAGACACTCTATGAGTACTAGGAAAGACCTAAGAGGTTGTGTGCCAGTTGCCTCCACCACTAAATCAGTGATTAATTACTCATCCAATATTTTATGAAAGATTACACTCCATGGATAGAAGTATGATAGATGTAGCAAGTGGAGGAGTATTGGTAGACAAGACACCTGTAGTAGCTAGGAACTTGATTGAAAATATGGCTACCAATTCCTAGCAATTTGCCACAAGACAAAATTCTTGTGTGGCTAGAAATGTGCATGATATTCAAGTTGCAGACCCAAACAAATTAGAGCACAAGATTGATGAGTTAGTCTCCATGGTGAAGCAATTAGCTTCAATACAAAAGACTGCTACTGTACCTTTACCTCAACCACCACCTATTTCAGCCATGTTATGTGGGATATGCTCATCCACAGATCATTATACTGATAATTGCTCCACATTGCAGGAAACTAACACTTTGGAAGGTAATCCCCAAGCCTATACTGCAAATTTTTACACTAATAAGTTTCCTTTTCAACAGCTGTAGCAACAGCTCAGTTGGGACTTGTCTTCAAACAGATACAATCTTGGCTAGAGAAATCATCCAAACTTGAGATGGGGAAATTCTTCACTGCAGCACCACCAATAACAAAGCAACCATTATCAAGCACATCATGTTGGTTCAAGCAAATCCCACCACCAACAACAAGCTCAACATCACCAACCATCTACCTTACATGCCATTGTACCCCAAAAGAGCGAGTCATCATTAGAAGAACTCATGAAGCAAATGGCAATGAACAACATTACCTTCCAACAAAGGACTGAAGCTAGCATCAAGACTTTTGAGAACCAAATGGTAAAGTTAGCTTCTTCCCTGAACCAAATTCAATCTCAAGGTTCAGGAAATCTCCCTGCACAGACTGTAGTAAATCCAAGAAATGTGAGTGCAATTACCTTGAGATTTGGAAGAGTCATGCAAGAACCTGAACTGCCCAAGAAGAAAGAAGATACAAGTTGTACTTTAGCTATAGTTGATGATAATGAAGAGGAAAACAGTCAAGAACAACCAGGACTTGCACCTGCCTAACAAAAGGCAACAGAGAATGTTGAAAGAGCAATTCCTCTCCCATTTCCTCAAAGAGCCATCTAGCTCAATAAGAAGTCTGAAGAAACTGACAAGGAGATCTTAGAGACCTTCAGGAAGGTAGAGGTGAATATACCTCTACTGGATACAATCAAACAAATACCCAGATACGCCAAATTCTTGAAAGACTTGTATACCCACAGAAGGCGTCTTAAGGGTAATGAAAAAGTAAATATGGGTAGGAATGTTTCTGCACTTTTTGAGAAACAAAGGTCCATATTGCCTAAAAAATGTAAAGACCCAGGGACATTTACCATTCCATGCATCATTGGTAATAACAGGATTAATAATGCTATGCTAGATCTAGGAGCATCCATTAATGTTATGCCATTGTCTATTTTTACTTCATTGTCTCTGGGCCATTTTCAGCCCATATGTGTGATTATTCAGTTGGCCAAAAGGAGCACATCTAGCTGGACTTGTTGAAGATGTGTTAATGAGAGTAAACGACCTCATTTTCTCAGCTGACTTCTACATCTTAGACATGCAAGAGGGAGAATTTGTGAGGAGTGCTGCACCAATAATTTTAAAGAGACCGTTCTTGAAGACTACAAGAATGAAGATTGATGTGCATACTAGATCACTTACCATAGAGTTTGGAGACAACATTGTGTGTTTTAATATACTGGATGCTATGAAGTACCCACCTGAAGAACACTGTCTTTCACATTATTTTTTTGATGCATTGATAGATGATAAAATGTCTGAACTATTAGAACGAGACTCTTTTAATTTTTCTGACTATGTAGATACTTCCATTTGTGAATCTTGTAATAATTCTTCTTTGTGTGACACTTACAAACTCTGCAACTTCTGATGTTGATAAAACTGAAAAATCCATAGGGATAGAATATGATGTATTGAGTATAGGAGGTATAGCTGAATCTAACCCCCATGATTTGAATGTTGTAGAAGTTTTGTGTAGTACCAAATCACTTCCATCTGTGAAGTAGCCTCCCACACTGGCCTTTACCTGAACATATGAAATATGCTTATTTGGAAGCAAATGAAAAGCTCACTGTGATAATTTCCACCAAGCTTGAGGGTGATCAAAAGGAGAATTTGTTTGAAGTGATAAAAAACCACAAGAGGGTCATAGTATGGACACTAGTTGACATTCCTGGAATCAACCCCTCCTTATGCATGCACAGAATCTTATTGGAGGAGGGAGCTAAACCAGTAAAGCAACCTTAAAGAAGGGTGAATTCTATCATTCTAGATGTGGTGAAGAAAGAAGTCACCAAGCTACTTCAAGCTGGAATCATCTATTTAATCTCAGATAGCACTTGGGTCAGCCTGGTCTAAGTGGCTCCCAAGAAATCTGGACTCACTGTGGTAAAGAATGAGAAGGATGAGCTGATATCCACTAGAGTCCAAAACAGCTGGAGGGTCTGTATAGACTACCAGAGACTAAACCAGGCAACAAGGAAGGACCATTTTCCATTACTCTTCATTGATCAGATGCTGGAAAGGTTAGTTGGTAAGTCTCATTATTGCTTTCTTGATGGTTTTTTTGGGTTATTTCTAAATATGCATTGCACCTAAAGACTAGGAGAAAACTACATTTACATGTCCATTTGGCACCTTCGCCTATCGGAGGATGACCTTTGGCCTATGTAATGCTCCTGCCACATTCTAGAGATGCATGTTAAGCATTTTTTCTGATTTAGTTTAGCATTGCATAAAGGTTTTCATGGATGATTTTACAATATATGGTTCATCTTTTGCTGCATGTTTGACTAACCTAGATAAAGTTTTGAAAAACGTAGAAACTAACCTTGTGTTAAATTTTGAAAAATGCCATTTCATGGTAGAACAAGGCGTAGTTCTAGGCCATATTATCTCTGAAAAAGGCATTGAGGTTGATCCTGCAAAATTAAATGTTATTTCACAATTGCCTTACCCCTCTTACATTTGAGAGGTTCGTTCTTTTCTAAGCCATGCATGATTTTACAGGAGGTTCATTAAGGACTTCTCAAAGATTGTCATTCCTCTTTTCAAGCTACTACAAAAAGAAGCTGAGTTCAACTTTGATGAGAAATGCAAGGAGGCATTTGACTTTCTTAAGAGAGCCCTGACCACCACGCCTATTATTCAGCCTCCAGATTGGACAATGCCATTTGAGTTTATGATCAAACTATGCAGTGGGAGCTGTCTTAACATAGCGGGTTGGTAAGATTCCCTATGTTATTTATTATGCTTCTAGAACCCTGACCACCACGCCTATTATTCAACCTCCAGATTGGACAATGCCATTTGAGTTGATGTGTGATGCATCAAACTATGCAGTGGAAGTTGTCTCAACATAGCAGGTTAGTAAGATTCCCTATGTTATTTATTATGGTTCTAGAACCCTGTATCCTGCACAGTCAAATTATACCATAACTAAGAAGGATTTGTTGGCCATAGTCATTGCACTAGACAAATTCAAGTCATATCTTTTAGGGTTGGTATTTATTGATCATTCTGCTTTAAATTTTTTGTTGAAAAAGACAAATTTTAAGCCTAGGTTCATAAGATGGATGCTCTTACTTCAAGAGTTTGACTTGAAAATCAAAGATAGAAGTGGAACACAGAACTTAGTAGCAAACCATTTGAGCATAATAGAGGGAGTTCCTGAACTCATTCCACTCAAGGATAATTTTCTTGATGAAGAACTCTTAGAGTTATGCACTTCACACGTACCTTGGAATGCTGACATTCTTAATTTCTTAGTTGCAAGAGTTTTTCCAACAAATGCACCAAGGACTCAAATGGAAAAGATTAAGAGTGATGCCAAATACTATGTGTGGGATGACCCCTATTTTTTGGAAATTTTGCACTGACCAAGTAATCAAAAGGTGCATCCCTGATGAAGAAATTCCATCCATACTGTAGTTCTACCATGCTTCAACTGTAGGAGGCCACCTTGGACCTCAGAGAAGAGCAAGAAAGGTGTTGAATTCAGGACTGTAGTGGCCTTCCATTTTCAAGGAATCCTGGCAAATATACTCCACATGTGAAAGATGCCAAAGGCCAAGAGGAGTGCTCAACTGGAGACAAGAAATGCCTTAGCAGCCCATAATATATTGTGACATCTTTGATGTCTGGGGTATTGACTTCATGAGACCTTTCCCATTATCTTTTGGTTTCTTGTACATATTACTTGCTGTTGATTATGTTTCAAAGTGGGTGGAATCTAAGGCCACCAAGACTAACGATGCCAGGGTTATTACAAATTTTGTCTGTACTAACTTGTTTTGTAGGTTTAGAATCCCTTGTGCCATCATTAGTGACCAAAGGAGTCATTTTTGTAACAAGACAATAGAGGTCTTGCTAAGAAAGTATGAAATACTGCATAAGGTTTCCACTGTCTACCACCCACAGACCAATGGACAAGCTTAGCTCTCCAATAGAGAAATAAAGAAGATACTTGAGTAGTGCAACCTCACAGAAAAGATTGGAGTCGCAAGCTTGACGATGCATTATGGGCACATAGGACTGCATTCAAGGCACCTTTGGGCATGTCGTCATATAGGATTGTCTATGAAAAAGCTTGCCATCTACCAGTTGAAATAGAACACAAAACATATTGGGCAGTGAAGACTTGTAATTTGCACTACGACTCAGTTGGAAAGCAAAGGAAGTTGCAACTGCAAGAATTAGAGGAACTGTGTTTGGAGGCCTATGAGAACTTAAGGATTTATAAGGAAAGGACCAAGAGATACCATGACAAAATGATAACTAGGAAGGAATTCATTGTAGGTCAAAAGGTACTCTTGTTCAATTCTTGCCTCAAATTCATGCCCAGAAAGCTTAGATCAAGTTGGGTTAGACCATTCACAGTCACAAAGGTATTTCCTCATGGTGTAGAGGAAATCAAGAGCGATTCCACTAGTAAGAGCTTCATGGTAAATGGACACCACTTGAAGCATTTCTTGCAAAATTCAGTTTCCCTGGAGGAAGTTGAGGAGATTGATCTACACATTCCTTTCATAGACCTCAACCACCCTTGTTCTGAGTAATCCAATCCATGGGTCAAGCTAGTGACGTTAAAGAAGCATTGTGTGAGAGGCAACTCACAGATTTCCTACTGATTTTTAACTATTTTTTCGCATGCAATAATGGTCTTGCATTTAAGTTATGATAATTCACAAATTTGCTACACGAACACTTCACTTTGCAGTAAACTTGTTAATGACATGTGTTTCTGCATAACTTCAGTTTTGCAAAAGAGAATTGCAACTTTTAGACCCAATTCCTGCATAAATTTAAGAAAAGTTCAAGTGTAGCAAGGAAGTAATCACTTTCAGAACTTAAGGTAGTCACTTTGGACAGAAAAATGAGAGTTTATCACGAAGGTAATCACTTTTCCAAGCAATAGTAGCTACTTTCAGCCTAAGTATGTAACTTTGCTCTCTGTAGTGAGCACTTTTGTAGTTGATAGTAACTACTTTTATAGCATCTGAGCTAATTTAGATAGTAGCCACGCGCAGGCACTTTGGATATTACACAGGATGTGTGCTCTTTGTAGTGGTTACTATTGTGAACTATAGTAGCTATGCAGAACCCTTTTTAGCAAAATATTGTGCGTGTGTCTACTATTACTTGCAATAGTAGCCATGCGCAAGCCTTTTAGGTACTTTTGAATTTGAGCGCCTCTGCATTGATTATTATCACTTGCAATAGTAGCCACATGCAACACCACCTTGCATAAACGAAGTGCATGTGTCTACTATTGTTCATGCAAGTGGCCACACCCATCACTTACATATATAAAGTACCCACTTTCTCACTCGCTTTCACCCTAACTCTCTAAGTAATCTCCCTCTCAACCTTGAATTTCTCTACACTCACTCGCGTATTCACTTTTCTGCTCCAAGGATTCCATTTCTATGCTTTTTTACACAGTCCTACACTTCTAATCAAGGTAATCACTCAATTCCTCATTCTTGAACTACGGTTCTTCACTATACAATTGGAAATTTTGAATTAGGAACCCCTAGGCTGAAATTGCTAAGTAGAATTTATGATTTTAGGGATGTTTGTATAATTAAAGAACAATGGGGGCGTTTGATTGACTCAATTTACTATGTTTTGCCATGATCGTACCATAGGATAGTTACTCTTGTCTGTAGTAGTGTTTACTCTATATATTCTAATATGATAGTGCTTACCCTAGACTCGTTTTAAGTACATAGTGCTTGCTTTGCCTTGCATTCCATTTTTTCATGGTTAATTACACAAAATTCTACTTTGATGAATGTGGCATGTACAAACCCCATAGTAGTTATTGTCATGTATGAAAGTGACCACTTTGTGCTATAACTTCTTATTTAAAAGTGTTCACTTTAGGACTCTTTGGACTGCTGTGTCATTATGACTTCATACTTAGCATTTGCCAAGCCATGTACAATTGCATTGATGTTGCTGAATTGGACATTAACACATAAAATTCTACACTTCAAAAGTGATTACCGCCAATTGTAAAAGTGTTAATTGTGTGTGTGAGTTTGTAATTCAAAATTGCTTACCTTGGACTGCATTCCACTTGCCCTGAATGACTTTTTTCTGCAATTTGCTGCATAAATTTAGCCTGTGCCTGCATTTCCATTATCAATTGCATATCTCTGCATTGCTTGCACCTACACTTGACTTGTTGTTGCATAACTACCATGACAAGTTCAGATTCCATAGTAGTTATTATCTTCTACCATAGCATTCACTTTGGCAGCATAGTTAACATTCTGCATTGCACTTTCATTACACAAACCCTGCATAATTGTTGTTGTTCGGAGGGCAAGTGTACCCATCGAGAAGTAATAAAGGGTTCTTAAATTAAGTTTTTAAAATATTGTCCCACAAGGATTGATTTTCAATTAATAATAATTTCCTAATTCAATTATTTAAGTTTCAAAGATACGAGATTAATTAAAAACAAGAATTTATAAAATCAATTATAAAACTAAGAGCAAGTAATACAATGCACGTCTTGGTTAAACTTATCGGAGAGGAACCTAGGGCATATGAGTTCTCTCAACAAGCATGGGCATGCATGTGCCTCTGTTTTGGGATTCTTGTAATTTCTCTCCCCTTCTAAGGGTGATGACATTGCATTGCTCCCTTGGATTAGGTTCAGGCTGAGATGGCATGTTCCCATTACTCTTTGACTCAAAAGGTTCATAATTTGCTCCAATTATGCACTCATCTTAGAATAGTTGGCTAGTATTTCAGATTTGACCTCTGCAAACCTCTTATCAGTTCTCTCAATATGTTGGTCGAACTTGGATTCAAGCTTTGTCATCCTCGTATCAAAGTAATGCACATATTGCATCATCTGTTCTTGAAAGTTAGACTGAGATCTAAGAGCTTCTTTTCTATCATGTCTTGCTCCCTGACTTTGCATATGAGGAGGGCGATAAACACTTGAATTTTGACTTCCAAAGCCATTCCCCCAAGAGTTAGGAGGATTACTCCTCCACCTTGAACTATGATTGCCCATGAAATTTGCCTCCTCTTACTTAGATTCTGGGTTTGGAGAAGCTCTTACAGGTTGGTCTTGAGCCTTCATTAAATATTCTAGTTGCTTTGCAAGGGCTGTCATTTGGTTCATTAGTGGGCTGCTGCTCTCTGCTTGGTAGACCAGAGCAATCTCTTTCCTCTTGATACGTAAGAGTCAGCAATGTGCCACTGAAAGCTAGAAGATGTCATTTCATCTATTAGTTTGTATGCATCATCTGGATCTTTTCTTATAAGGGACCCTCCTGTTGCGGCATCAATTGTAGTCCTGGTAGTGATTGACAGGCCACTGTAAAAGTTTTGCACCTATCTCCATGTCAAAAAATCATGATGAGGACATTTCCTCAAAAGCTCTCCAAATTGCTCCCATGCTTCGAATAAGGATTCTGCTTCATATTGTTGGAAGCAACATATCTCCGTCATAAGCTTAAAAGACCTTGATGGGGAAAGTACTTTTCCAAGAATTGTTGAGTGAGATCCTCCTAATTTCTGATAGAGTTGGCTGGAAGTGAGGAAAACCATGCATTCACCCTTTCAGATATTGAGAAGGGGAAAAGGCGGAGTCGAATAGCATCGTTCGAGACTCTATTGTACTTGATGGTATCCGTCAATCGGAGGAACTTTATCAGATGAAGATTGAGGTCTTCGTTAGGTATGCCTCCAAATTGTATCGAGTTCTGGACCATGGTTGAGTGTTGGTTTCAATTCAAAATTGTTGGCCTCCACATTAGGTGCCAAAATGCTTCTAGGAGTGCCTCTAGCAGTGGGTGTCACGTAATCTTGGATTGATCTCCTTGCCTCTGTCATTCTTTGCTCTCTCACTTCTTTTCTTTGTCTACGAACTGTTCTTTCAATCTCTGGATCAAATAAACAAGTTGTAGAGCACTTAGAACGAGTGAGTATACATTAAAAGAAATTGTGAAATAAATAAAAAATTTAAAATAAAATAAATATGAAAATTAAAAAAAAAATTAACAATAAACAAAAAAGAATTAAAATAAAATAAAACACAAATTGCTTAAATCAATTAAATTTGAGATTTTCTTAATATTGAAAAAGCAACCTCCGGCAACGGCGCCAAAAACTTGTTCGGAGGGCAAGTGTACCCATTGAAAAGTAATAAAGGGTTCTTAAATTAAATTTCTGAAATATCGTCCCACAAGGATTGATTTCCAATTACTAAGAATTTCTTAATTCAAATGTTTAAGTTTCAAAGATACAAGATTAATTAAAAATAAGAATTTATAAAATCAATTATAAAACTAAGAGCAAGGAATATAATGCACGTCTTGGTTAAACTTATCGGAGAGGAACCTAGGGCATATGGGTTTTCTCATTCAATCCTTTATGTTATTTTTCTATTTAACTCTAAATTCAATTTCCTTGTGATTACCAATCATTTATACGAATACTATTAATACCCAATGGTCATGCAATATTAATATTCTTTTCTCTAAATTAACATCTCCAATGGTCATGCAAGACATTAATTTAAGAAAGCTTTAGGAGCTTACAAACTTGTTAATTTAATAATGATTAGAAGAGAAAGATTGGTTTGGTCCACCTATCCTTTGTCTCATTTTACCCTATAGATTTATTAGTTAACTGAGGTACGGTCGCCTAACGATATAATTAATTAAGACTAAGAAAGAAGCACAATAGGATAAAATCTAATCACAAAGCGGAAATCAAATTTAGATTCAAATATCAAAATTCCATAAATTCATGAACAATATAGCCCTAGCTATGGGCTTAGTTACTCGTGCTAAAGAAAAGAACTAAAACAATCATAAACAAAGCCATAATCAAAAGAAATAGCAAACTAGAGCGTGAGATGTGTTCTCGGTCATTGTAGTATAGTGGTGAGTATTCTCGCCTGTCACGCGGGCGACCCGGGTTTGATCCCCGGCAACGGCGTCAAAAACTTGTCACATTATTAGAGAACTAACTAGCAAGTGTACTAGGTAGTTGTAGCAAGTAATAAAATTTGGAAATCAATGAGTCCCAAGTATCGTCCTCAAGGATTAGGTCTATCAATTACCACTTCACAAATCAATAACTAGTTGACCCAAACGAATATTGGAGATGTTTCGAATCATTTGAGAACAAAAACAATAAAGTGCAGAAATCTTAAAGTACAGCAAAATAGAATACAAATTTTGTATTAAAATGCTATATGGAAAATAGTTAGAAATCACTTCACCAGATTTTCTGTTACAATTTAATAATGTTCTGAACTCTTAAGAATTTTAATTAATTGATAATCAATTTTACTTCTTTAACCAAAGGACAATTCCTTGCCTCATTGATCCTAATATCTAATTAAACCTCCCTAATTCCTTAAGTGAAATTCAACCAAATATTGCATTAAGTTCTGGAAATTATAGGATTACTAGATTATGATACTTATTCCTAAGATCTTAATAACCTAGGCATATAATTCAGATCTGAGAAATAAACTCAATTTCCCTTGATGAAGATTCCTCTAAATTCAATTGAATGAAGA